TTTCTATACCCTCGTTAGAAAAACGAATAATATATAATAGTTTATAACGAGACATAGCTATTTAAGACTTTAATTTTTTAATTCGATTTAATATTATATTAATATATTTTTAAATAAAAATATATTTAACGATTCCTTAACTTAGGAATAGGCGACCTATTTATAAGCCTAAGGGACTAGACTTTTAAAAGGAGGAGCTAATATTACGATTTAATATATATAATAAAGCTAGGGCCTGCTTTATAAAACCTATAGTAGCTACTATATTATATATATAGAAGTAGCGGATTTAAAATAACTCCTTTTAGGATAAAAGAACTATAAATAAATTACGTAACTACGATTATATAATAAAATAAAGAACGGATGCCTATAAATAAATAGGATATATAATTATAAATAAATAAAATAGACGATCGTTTAGTAAATAGTTAAATAATAATAAATAAAGATATTATAAAAGATATATTTAGGAACGAGACTTATATATAGTATAGATTTAAACCGGGCTTAAAAATAGACTTTCTATAGCTTCTTTAATAATTAATTTAATATTAGATTTTATAATTATTTTTAGCTATTTTTATTAAAAACCCCTTTTAATAAAATTATAATTAATTATTAAAGCCTTATTTATTTTACTATTTATAAATATAGCTTTAAAGAAGCTATTTATAACTATAATACTATTTATTTAGCTTTCGTAGCTTTAACTTCTATTAATATATTTATTACGACTAGCTAGCCGTAATATATTAGCCTTAACTTCGATATATTATTAAATTTAAATATAAAAATATAAAAAGAAATAGCTAAATAATAATTTAAACTATATAAATTAATCTCTATTAACGAATAATTATATATTATTATTAAAGATCGGGACTAATTATTAAAAATATCGATTATAGTAGTACGACTTTATTATACTGATCCTAGCGAGGAGATTTTAATTTAATAAAAAGAAGAAGAGCTAAGGGAATCCCCTTAACTATATAATAAGGGGTAAGAAATTATTTTTAACGAAATCGTTATAATAATATAAGTAAATAATAAGGACGAAGCTATTAATAAAAAAAAGGAAAAAAGTAGAGAGTAAAATATATTAATATTTTTATTACTATTAAAATATTAAAAAAGACTTTAATAAAGGGTATTAATCCGGTAATTCGTTATTAATAATAAAGTAATTAATATATTCTATATAGCTAAAAAAAAAAGCCGACTTTATACTTATAGTTAAACTATAAAAAGATAATATAATTATAATTATAAAAAGGCTATATAAAAAATTAGACTTTATTAAAATAGATATATTACGGGATCGAGGAGTTTACCGATTTATCTTTTATAACTTAATTAAATATATAAATATTATAACCTAATATATATAATAAGGCTAAGGCTTACTCTATAGAACTTATAGTAGCTACTATATTATATATATAGAGGTAACGGACTTAGGACGACCCCTCGCGGGATAAAAGAACTATAAATAAATTACGTAATTATAATTATATAATAAAATAAAGAACGGATACCTATAAATAAATAAGACGTATAATTATAAATAAATAAAACGGACGACCGTTTAGTAAATAGTTAAATAATAATAAATAGAGATATTATAAAGAATATATTTAGGAATAAGACTTATATATAATATAGATTTAAACTGGGCTTAAAAATAGACTTTTTATAGCTTTTTAATAATTAACTTAGTACTAGATTTTATAATCGCTTTTAGCTATTTTTATTAAAAACCCCTTTTAATAAAATTACGATTTATTATTAAAGCCTTATTTATTTTATAATTTATAAATATAGCTTTAAAAAAGCTATTTACGACTACGATACTATTTACTTAGCCTTCGTAACTTTAACTTTTATTAATATACTTATTATAACTAGCTAGCCGTAATAATAAACTTTTATATTTTTAAATTATATATAGTTCGTAAAAAAAAAAAAAAAGGACTCCTTAACTATATAAAAAATCGAAGTACGTTATTTAAGGGTATAGTAACGTTAAAAAAGCGACGCTACTTATTTAATTATTTATAGTTTAATGCTATAACTAGTATTTTATAATAATATTAATAGTATTATTATAATAAAAAAGATATTAAATCTAGAATCGTAATATTACATAAGCGTATATATAATTAGCGACTAGGTTTATAAAGAAAATCCTAGCCTATTTCCCGAAAGAGATAACTAGTAAGTATTTAAAAAGTATTATTATTAAAGTATTTAAGCTATTATACGGCTTTATTAAATCGGGCACTTATTAATAAATAACTTATTACAACTTCTATATTAATTAATTATTAATAGTTACGTTAATTTACGACCCTTATTTATTAGTTTTTATATACGTAAATAACCCTTTTAATATTATTAAAATATAAATAGATCATATTTTAAAACTATTAAATATTAAGTTTATAAAAAAGGAAGAGGAAGAGCTTAAAAAAGTAAAATTCGTAACTAAACTAAAAGAGGTCTTTATAACTTATATTATTAATTTTTAATAAAAGGACCTTTATAATTAAGGGTAAGAAAGTAATATTTTATTAAAAGGGGTAAAAAGAGAAGATTATATTTATTAATTTAAAATCCTCTATTTATAATAAATAATATAAAGCTAAGCTTATATAAAGAGCTTATATTATAAATATATATTAGTCCGAGGCTACTTTTAATTACGCTAAAGCCGCGCAGGCTATAGAGTTTATAGAATAGGATTTTAAAACGTTTAATTAACGGCTTTAATAATAATATAAAAATCTTAAATAAAAGCTCGTTTATTAACTAATTAACTTAGTTTTAATAAAGCTCTATATCTTTATTAATAGATTTTTTATTAATAATAATAACTTAATATTCTAGTTAAGTTATATAATTATCCTTATTAATAAAACTTTAAATAAAGACGACTTTATAATTTAAAGTAATATAATTTATTATTTATTAATAAAAAGTGAGCGAGTTATTAAAAGCGTATTTATATTAAAAGTTTATAATATAGTTAATAAAGTTAATATTACCTATATAATTTTTATTACGTTTAAAAAGATTATAAATAGATTTATTCTTTTTATAATCTTTATAATTATTTATATTAACTCGTATTCGCTATATAAATACTTCGTTAAATTAGGTATTATAAAAAAAAAGAGGTTTATAATTAATATTATAGCCCTTTAATAGTTATATAAACGCTATAAGATCCTTGAAATCCGTTAAATTAATAGCGACGATAATTTAATAAATACTTTTATAAAAGTAATATTTAATAAAGGGCTCGAGTACTTTATTAATAATAATAAAATATAAATATAAATAAAAGGATAAGTTATATATAAAAAGTAAAAAAAAAAAAAAAAAAAAAAGAGGGGGCTTAATAAGCGAGCTAGAAGTTAAATTATATTTTTAACTATTATAATTAAAAAAAAAAAAAAAGAAATAGTTAATATTAAATTAGAAGTTTAATTCGACTTCGAGGTAAAGGGCCCGTATAGGGGGTATTTATAGGCTATATTTATAATAATCATAGCCTATTTAACTTATAGTTAGAACCTCCTTTTTCTATTTTTATATAAAAGATTAAATAGTTTAATTAACCTACTTCGTGAACCTACGGTTCGAACTAATCGACCACTATCCCTATAATAGGTATATTAATAGTTATTAAGGTAATTTAAAATATTGGCAGGTCAATTGCTGAGCATGTTAATCATTGACATAATTGCAAAAAAGAGATCATGCAATGAGCAGTATTGGTTTTTAGGTACTTGAAAAAAGTATTACTACATAAAATAGCGTACAATAATCTCAGCGAATCTTCAGGCGCTCGTAGCACTGCACAGGCTTCCGTGTAAGGGTTGTAATACCCCCATAACTCGACAAATTCTCTGGGCACTTTTGGAACTCGAATGACCAGATCAAGAGGGTGATCAAAAGCTTCATTTCCAAATATGCCAGCTTTCGATTGAAGCAACCGCGAAGTCTAAGGCCGAAGGGCAAGGTTGGCCCAGCAGAAGCATTGTATTCGTCATTACCCTTCTCATCCCGTACAAGCCAACGATCCGGCTTGAACATGCCCATCTCATGGGAGTCCCAGACCCTGGAACCAAAATCGGTGGCTGCTTCCTCGAGGATGGGCTCCGCAGGCGTTCCTCAATCTCATATCCCGGCTCAGTATAGCTTGGACCCTTGTATGGGACGATGACGGTGGTACCCTTGGGGATGACATGGCCTAAGATAACAGTATCTTCTTTGCACTCTCGATCTTGGCTGGTCGCTGTATGATCAAGCCGAGGCATCTCCTCAATGACTGCGTCGAGGTACGGTATGTTCGCGTCGCAAATTTCAGAGTGTGTAGGAAGACGACCCTCACTACTTGCTGCGATGTGGAAGGTCCGAATGCTGTCAAAAAGTCTTTGCTGAACTGCCTGGTCATCCGCAATGAACTTGATGCCCCAGCAGAGGGTGGTGCTCGTCGTATCATGCCCAGCAACAACAAAGCCGGCAGATTGAGAAAGTATTAGGTCAGTAGGTGATCTAGCGTCGTTCCTTTTCAAGTTTTTCTTACCTCAGCTCTCATAGTTTCGATCCAGTCAGGGAGAAGGTGACCTTCCTTCTCCATGACACTGTTCAGCCTTCGCACCATCAAGTCAATTGTAGACTTAACGTGCTTTTCCTCATTGTCAACAGCCCGAAATTGAGTTTTGGATCTTTCCGATGCCTGCAGGATTGGAATTTCCAAGTTGCGTCTATCCATCCTACCCTGGATGCAACGCTGCAGACGGCAGAAATCGTTGGCGGTGTAGCAATGATCGGGTTCCCGAAGTGTTGGTATACACGTGGGCAGGTCAGACCTTTCGGTCGCGACGAGGTCAATTGTTGAGGTAGGTCTATTGCGCGTATGTAGAAGGGGAAGATCGTGGGCAGAGCCCGCGATCCCTCAGTGGGTGTAAGTAGGTGGAAGGGTCCGTCTGCACGGGCCCAGACTGCCTACCTACCTCCCCTACCTAACCGTCTACCTAGACCCCTTTTTTTGCCTTGCCAATCCAACACGAAGCTTGCGTGGTCAGTCATTGGGCTGAGGCCGAGTGTACGTCGGGGAAGAGCGGTGCGAGATGATTTTCTCGTTGACCAGGTACGTCACTGTCGTGTTGGGAGTTCTGTTCGGCCATTACGTTGGCAGCTGACATCGATACCAATAATTCAACTTCAGGTATCAGAGCCCTCATAGGAGCAGCGTCGACAAAGCCGAAGTCCAAGACGGCATCTAGAGCAGCTTAGAAGACATCATTTTCTGCGGAAAAGGCCCTCCCGTCAGCAAGATGCGCCTTCCTTTTCCAGAGATCCAGAAGGCGCAAAGCACTCTTATAGATGTTGGGAGCCGCCACCCTGTGAAGAAATGCCGGCGTCTTCAAGTCCTGAAGTAAACGGCGTTGAGCCTTCCATTGCGGCCCGGTCTTTAGTGTAATGTGGAAAGACTTCGCCTCACCGGATAAGACATTGCTCATGAAGCTGGATCGGTCAAGCTCTTTTCGGCGTAGAAGAATGTTTTGACCCTCTTGGAAGTCTGCGATAACTACAGTGGGTTTCGTGAGAGGCCCCAGCCAGACTTGAAAAATAGGACTGATGTGGCGACGGGACTGCGCTGCTATCCAACTGAGCAGGTTACCGGGTGATTCTCTCTTGATATCGGGAATATCACCGAAAATGCTCTTTGCGGCGTGTTTGTTGTATGGAATGCCAGGTATAGGCTTTGGCAGGATGATTTGGTAAAGGATGTAAAAAATTGGCAGGACCGCGGTGAAGGGGACCAGAACGGCCAGTCATCGTATGGGAATGGTGGTATCCAGCATGTCCGCCATGATTGCGATTTCCATTTCAGTTCTTATGTGGTAAAGATCAAAAGTGACTGCCTAGTTAGTATATTATATGTGAAATGGCATATGGAACATCGATGTCTTGCATCCCGGTCTAAACTGAAAGGTGATGGTCATGCGGCAGATTCGTTTTGTTGCAATAAGAAAATAAGAAGCATGCCTAGGTCAGTCCTCTTGGTCGGAGAGAAGCCAAATCGAAAGTCTTGAGTCGGGGGACTCCACAACGGAAGGCTCCAACGGAGTATGTAGTTGAGCCGACAAAGATCGGGGCGGGAGCGGAGACTAAGTCCATCCCCGATGTCTCTGCGCTACTGGACTGCAATACTAGCAAGCTAATTACTTGAGACCTAGGCTAGTTAGTCAGTGCTGATTTACCGGACATCAGGTATTGGACGGGACCTCGGCCTTCACTGTTTCGCAGCGGTACTGCTTGATACTCAATTCTGATATGTTGGAGGGCTGTCATATCGACGACCTCCTGCCGGGTCTCCTGGCCTATGCACCTGAACCATGATCAGCACAGAGAAGACACTGAGAGCGCGCATGGCTGAATTGCAACGGAGTCGGCTTGTTCTGGTTCCGACTCCTGCGGCTGCTCGAACAGATACTTCAACTCCGCAATATTCTATCCCACCGGGTATAAATAGGCTATAGCACGATGCATGTAGGGCTACGGCTGTTGAGAAGAGATCGGCAACTTGTTCTCGCAGACAGCGAGCTTCATTACCGATTGTATGTACTTATATTTTCATGAGGAATTTGGGTATTACATAAAGTAAATATCTGATTGTTTCGTTCCAGGCGAACAGCAGGAAGCTAGCAAAAGCCCTACAGTACACAAGTCCCGTCAAATAGCACTTGCAATGATCTTAGCAGCCGCCACCTCGGCAACACCATACGCAGCCGTCTGAATGTGGCCAGAAACAATGATTGGCACAATACTGTTGTCGACTACTCGCAGGTTCTGCGTACCATAGACCCGCAGATCAGCATCGACAACACCGCCCTCAGCCTTGGGGAGAAGAGAGCAGGTTCCGACCGGGTGGTAGAAGCTCGTGACCGTGTTGACAGCGAAGTCACGGAACTGATCATCAGTCAGAACATCCGGACCTGGCTCCGTCTCAACTTCCCAGACGGCCTTGAGGGGCCCCGCCTCGGCAATCTTGCGCGCGAACTTGGCGCCCTCGACGGCGGCTTTAATGTCGTGCTCGTTGCTCAGGAACTTAGGGTCGATGACGGGCTTGCCGGTAGGGCTCGTGGGATCAATGTGCACATTGCCCCGGCTGAGAGCATGCATGACGGTGCTGAAGATGGTAATGAACTTGCCGGAACCAGGGTATCCGGCCGCGCCGACGTAGTTTGCGTCAAAGATGAGTTCATAGTCCGGGACGGAGTCGTCTTTGAGAAACTCGAGCTTCTTCTTATCAATGGGGTTGGTGCTGTTGCCAAACTCTGCCTCTGCAAGAGCAATGATCTCGGCTTGAGCATTCCTGTCAATTTGAGCCCAGTTAAGGAACCCGTACGCCGCGGTCGTGTAGTCGTAGAGAGACACTTCGCCATCAATCCACTTTTGCAGCTCAGCAGTGGCGTTGGCACCGCTAGAGTCAAAGATGAGAGCATCGAAAGAGTCAAACTCATCCTTAAGACGATACACGTTGGATGTGCGGATGTGGTCTTGGTAGTTCTCACCAACGCCGGGCAAGTCAATGAGAGGCTCAACACCGGCGGCTTCGATCACAGCCGTCTGGCCGATACCTGATAGTTCGAGCAGACCAGGGCTCTGGATGGAACCAGCAGACAAGATGACCTCCTTGGCAGCGTTGAAAACGGTACCGTCGGCCAGTGTCACACCCGTGGCAGTGAAATCGTTGTTGCAAGTCTCGTTAAGGTTGACCTTGATGACTTGTGCATTGGTCTTCACCTCGAGGTTCGACCCGGCAAGTGGAAGGTAGCTATTGGCGCTGTAAGACCGCGAGTAGTCGGTGTTGTCAATGTTGGTCCCCTGGAACATGATGCCGATTGGGTTGCCGTGCATGTTACCTTCCTCGTTGATGGGAAGGCCGAGTTCCGTTCCGGCTGGCTGCCATGTGTTGAGCACGTCGTACACCACGCGGTTGTAAGTGTTACGAATGGGACCAGAGCGACCACGAGGGTCCTTGTCGGAGCCGGTGAAGTTCTCCGACTTGGTCATGGCTTCGATCATGACATCCCAAGACCAGCCTTCGCTACCCATCTCACCCCAGGCCTCGTACTCGGCCGCAGCGGCACGGTCATAGCAAAGGTAGTTCATGGCCGATGAGCCACCCAGAACCTTGCCGCGGTTGACGGGAATTTGACGGCCACCGAGAGCGCTCTGATCGATTGAAGTGAAGTTCCAGTCATATTCCGTGCCTAAGATCGAGCCTCTGAGACCGGGTACATTGATGCGGAGCTCGTCCAGAGCAGATGGGCCAGCCTCGAGAAGCAGAATTTGAGCATCAGGAAGGCCAAGACTCAGGCGGGTAGCTAAAGCTGAACCTGCTGTACCTCCACCTACGATGATCTATCTCATATGTAAGCACATACAAGAACCTTGTCGGGAAATTCGACGCGAAGTGTGACTTACGTAGTCGTAAGATTGAGCTGCAGTTGAGGAAACAACACTGAGCAACATCAACGCTGGCCACATCTTGAGGAACGACATCTTCTACAATGCAATGATAAACGAAGGAAAATCGCTCACTTGGCTTGGTCCAACGAAGGCTCGATGCTAAGTGGTGCCGTTGGAGCCGTGATCGGGCGGAAAAGCGCCTTGTTTTGTAACTGCGGCTCCCATCCAACTTCTAACCTTCGCAGGCTATTTACCGGGGAACTTACCTCGTTCTGATCAGTGAATATCTCGTTGACGGACCCCCTCCACTTCTTTGCATTACGCAGAGATTATTCATGCGCTCCCTCGCTGAACCAAAACCGGCGATCTAGATCCTTGATGATGGAAAACGCAACCTTGAACTAACATTCCGGAGTCCCCTGGAAATCTCGGGTGCGACGTTGACCAACCAGGAAAGAGTGCTCACCCATTAACCTTGACACGCAATGAAAAGCGCAAGTTCATTGCTCTTGCGTGTATGTACCATGTTAAGGTACCAACAAAGACAGGGGGTAGTTGACCCTAGTCCAGACTCGGTTCCTTAGTTGAGTGTGTCCGGTGATGTTGACCTTGCCATTCCATATCTGGTAACTTAATCGCGTACAATATAATGAAGTCGTATGATTCTGGGACTGCTTCAATATACGAATGAACCACGTAATCGCAAGACCTTGTTGATGATGGTAGGCTGTGCTATAGTTCCAACGCCAGCAGGCTACGCTGGCACAGTGCAGAAAACGCAGCAGCATATGTCGCTTGAACAGCCAATCTTCGATAAACTCCTAGGTCCTTAGAAGTCACGGTTCGTCTGATCAGGAACACCACAAACACAAAAGTCTTGGCTGGGTGCTCTTGGTCCGATCCGCGGGAGTGATCCGAGAGTGGGCGGGTGGCACCGAGAGCCCCGCTCATCTGTGCGCCTCTTCCAACACAAACAACATGATAAACAACATGGCAATTCTACTCCGTACAGCACCAGAACGCCGGAGAAAGTCAGGTCTGCAATTCCGGATGAGCCGTGCCGGTAGGTTTGATTTGTGGTGCAAAATGCGCCCGATGGTGGCAAGGCGGCGTTGGCGGGGCTACTCACACGCCCTGGCGATGGATGCACAAGCAGTTCGAATAAGATTGATACTAAGGTCTGGCTAGCAGACGCGGAGTTACCGCCGTTCGATCCTGAAAAGGCGGGTCCGGGGAAAGACTTCCCCCTCATATGATGTTACGTCCGACGTAAGGAAGCCCATGCACTTGGATTGACCGCGCCAAATAATCGAATCTTTGATTTGATGTGACCAGACTGGAATCTCCTCCCGGACTATCCTTCTAAGTCTTGTGATGTCGTTGCATTTCTTCAGCAGACTATCCGAAAAACAATCACAATTTGTGCGTATTAGGCTAAGTTAATGCTATGCAGAATGATCGAGTCCCCTGTTTTACGAAGGCCGTTCTTTTTTCTGTCCACATCTGGTAACTTGGCCCGGTTTCGAGGACCAGGGTCCTGGTTCGGATACTGCAGACATCATACCTAGTGATTGGTTCCAACAGCCAAGCCAGGACACCAACACCATTAATACCATTGACAGTGTTGGCAAGGTGCCATCGAGGCATGTGTGTACGTACTGTAGTGCATCTGTACCCTGGGAACTGGGACCCAGGACAACGTCTTACGCGGAACACTACGAAAAGTCCTGGGAGGGGTAACGTTCCCCGGACAATGCTGCTCAGTTAACAGTGATCCAAGCTGCTTGGCACTGAGCATGCTGCGGAGCCCTTGCTCATGTCAAGTGTCGATGATGACTTGGATAGGAGGTGTCCGTGCCACTTTTCTTGCAAGCCACGACTCTGGACTTGATATCTTAGCTCGAAACTTGCATGCGAAGCAGGAAGCCAGTATCTGACATCTGGAAGGTCTTGACCGGTTTTAGACGCTGTGTGGTGGCTAACGAAGTGAGGAAACTTTCATCGCCGATGTCTTGTGAACCGCTCCTAGCATGAGCAGTCTAGGTCTCTAAAGGCCAGGTCCAACCCCCTGGGCTGTTGGAGAGCATGATGAACCCAAGAAATTGACGAGAAACGAGATTATCAAAAGATCGATTTAGTGATGGGAAGACTCCGATGTTCCCCCTATCTCTCGTTCCTCTCTCATTTCGAGGCCGGACAAGCCTCGGGACAGTGACGCAGGGGCCGAGATATCCCTCTCTAGGCTGGGACTATGCATTGCTACGGCACAGCAAGACCTGCCCGGTCGCGATGAAAGCAACGAACCATGTTTGATACTAGGGTAGCAAATGTACTGTACTTGTTGGGTTCTTGCGGTGGCTAAATCCATTGAAGCTACCATAGACGGCACCACCTGCAACGGGATGACCTTTCGTCAGTGTTTCTTGGTTTTTTGGTCTGTGGGCCATGCTCTGGAGGAACCAACTGCCACCCTACCAGGAAACATTGATGAGACGAACTTCCTCTAACGGACCCTGCATGTCCCTTTTGCGGTGATATCTACTATCTCCGCGATACAGACGTGACCCCTGGAGCCAGCGGGCCAGCCTTTCTTGTCCCTCGCTTCAGTGATTGTGGAGGGTTCGTCACAGTCACACACATTCCGCCGCCTGTGAAATGGCATCCGTTCTAGCCGGTCAACCTTCAGTACATGGAGGGATTACTCTCCATTTTGCTCTTGGAACTTTTATATCACAAAGTTATTTCTCGGGAGTCGATCTGCCCGTTCCTTCGGGACTCTCAGATCCAGATTGGTGACTTCTAAGTCTCCGCTGCTCGTTTCGATCCGCTGGCGAACATCACCCGCAGTCATGGCCAACAACGGAACCCATGAAATCAGAACCGAGTCGAATGGCCCTCTTGTGAATGGTATTGCCATTGGCTTTGTCATTGCGTCGGCCGCGGTCCTCTCGCTTCGGCTCTACACCCGCCTGGTTCTCTTGAAAACGGCTGGGAAGGATGACTGGACCATGTTGATCGCCATGGTAAGCCGAACTGAAATCATCCTGACATCTCTTGGAGATGCTGATGTGTTATCAAGCTATTTGCTCTGGTGGTTGGAATTGGCACAGTCTTTGGTACGGGTTGCCTCGAGTTTCAACTCCAAGCAGTGCACTGAGACATAAGGTTAACGATATTGAGCATCTTAGAAGTGAAATATGGCATGGGTAGACATGCTGAGAATGTCTCAGCAGAGGAGACTATGGAGCAACTAAAGGTATGCATGCACACATTCTAGAGCCCATCGACGCCAGACGGAGTCGTCCATCGTTTGTTTAGGGACCGCTAACTCAGAAGTATGCAGTATCTTCTCATCGTCATTCTCCACTACAACATGGGAATGAACGTCGTCAAGGTTTCGTTCTTGCTCCAGTATCGGCGTGTGTTTGTGTCGAAAGTAGTTCAGAGAGTCTGCTTCTGGGCAATGGTATACGTGGTGATCTGGGCATGTGTTCAGGCCACACTTCTCGGGCTTTCTTGCCTGCCTATTGCCATTATCATGCCCAGCACCGCCGATTTCTGCCTCGACACGCTACCTATCTGGTACTTTTCATCCGCTATGAGTCTAGCGACGGACTTCATGATCTTCTGCATCCCTTTGCCATCCGTTCTCCGGCTTCAACTTCCAAAAAAGCAGAAGGCTATGTTGTTCGGTATCTTCTGTCTTGGCTTCTTGTGAGTGTCAACGCAAACTTCTTTCCCCCTCTCCCTCTATCTTACTGTGTCTGACTGCCTTACACTGAGACGACCAACGTTATAACCTAAGGTTCGCTCGCTGACATTTGGGCTCTTACCACAGTGTCTGCATCATCTCAGTCTATCGCATGTTCACCCTTCGCACAGCCGTCTCAAGTAACGACCCACCATGGGAAAATATTGGCGCCGCAATCTGGTCCGGCATCGAGCTCAACACTTCCATCATATGTGCCTCTCTGCCGACCATCCGACCCCTTCTGTCCAAGTGGCTTCCGGGTGCGGGACTATCGTCCGCCCACAACAAGACAAGTGCGTACAATCGATACGGCTCCTCCTCAGGCATGGGACGCGGAACCTTCAAGGAGCTCAAGAGTGGACAAAGAGAAGTCAGCACTGAAGAGCTTGTACTCAACGATATGAACGCCAATCAGTCGGGCAGCATGCCTTCGGTATACGCACACATCACAGCCGACCCAGAAATGGGCCACAGGGATCAAAGAAACAAGGGAAATCATCAAAATCAGATCATGGTGACCACCGAGACAATGATTAAGGAAGGTCGGCAACCTGCTACGAGCAGAAAGGCTTAAATTACCGGGAACCACTGAACTCAGAAGGAAGCCAGTATACCTGCCTCTCGTGCAATTTATTCTGGATGGAAAAAAGCTCAGGAGGCTCCACGTGGGCTATACGGATAGCGTATCTCTCATAGCTCTGAAATAAATCCTTTCGCTTTTCTTCGTTTTCTACGTCAGTAAAATCACATTAATTAGTAGGTAATCATTGGCGCAAGTCGAAGTAGACGCCGTTTATCGTTCTCGAAGCATGCTCATCCGCATGAAGTGGTGCACCTGGTCCATCGTGGGCAGCCATCCAAGGCACCGAAGACAGGACTACTGTGGCGCGCCATATTGCGCCACGTGCCTAGTATGATAATTCAAGACCCCGCCATCACTCAAGTAGGTACTCTGAGTCGAGTCACATATCCGGCTCGGGCAACACATCCGGCCTTCAACTCCACATTACGCCGGCCGAGCTACCAAGAGGACCCACTAAAGTGCGGCGAGACCAGACCATGCCGCCTCCGGGTGGGTATCTGAGCGGACTATTAGTATTGCCGAATTCCGCTGAACACCTCCCAGGTCACCTGGCCATGGCTCACCCGATTGGATAATCATAGGTCTCCGTGGATGCATCCTTGTATGTCATCGCACACGCTGATTGGCTTGCAGCCAATGTCCCGCGCAGCCTTGGGAAATCTGGGGCCGAGCCGATCAGAGCTCCCACGCGCAGCCTTCACACCTTTCACCTTTTTCCCAATCCTTCCCTCCTACCGCCCACCACAATCCGTTTCGCCTGGTCCTCATATACACATAGCCGACGACATCACTATCGCGAACAGATCGCCGACCGACGCCATGTCACAACTTGGTTCGGTGGCCTTGGCCAACGGCTCCGCGACGCCGAAGAAAGTCGCCTACTTCTACGATTCCGACATTGGTAATTATGCCTATGTTACCGGTCACCCCATGAAGCCCCATCGCATACGCCTCGCGCACAGCTTGATCATGCACTACGATTTATTCAAGAACATGGAGATATACGTATGTCATGCGTTCCAAATTCGCGACCCGATGGCTTCTAACACGATAATCTTAGCGAGCGAAACCTGCGACAAGGGGAGAGATGACCCAGTTCCACACAGACGAGTACATCGACTTCCTCCAGAAGGTAACTCCCGACAACATGGACGCCTACCAGAAGGAACAGGGCAAATACAACGTCGGAGATGATTGCCCCGTTTTTGACGGCCTCTTTGAGTTCTGCGGCATCAGCGCTGGCGGCAGTATGGAGGGTGCTGCCCGTCTTAATCGTCAAAAGTGCGATATTGCAGTCAATTGGGCCGGTGGTCTTCATCACGCCAAAAAGAGCGAGGCCAGTGGTTTCTGCTACGTCAACGGTACTGTAGATTCCCTTTGGTGACATTCCTGGATTACCTGCTAATCATCTCTAGACATTGTCCTCGGCATCCTCGAATTGCTGCGTTTCAAGAAGCGCGTCCTCTACATCGATATCGATGTCCACCATGGCGACGGTGTCGAAGAAGCATTCTACACGACCGACCGAGTCATGACCGTTTCCTTTCACAAATACGGCGAGTACTTCCCTGGTACTGGAGAGCTGCGCGACATTGGCATCGGCACCGGCAAGCACTACGCTGTCAACTTTCCCCTCCGCGATGGTATCGACGACACCTCATACAAGTCAATTTTCGAGCCAGTCATCGAGCACGTCATGAAATTCTATCAACCCGAAGCTGTTGTACTGCAATGTGGCGGCGACAGTTTGTCCGGCGATCGGTTGGGTTGCTTCAACCTTAGTATGGAGGGTCACGCCAACTGCGTTGGATACGTCAAGAGCTTCGGCTTGCCTACCCTGGTCCTGGGTGGTGGTGGATACACCATGCGCAACGTCGCTCGCACATGGGCGTTTGAGACTGGTGTTCTCGTTGGCAAGCACCTTCCCAAGACGCTTCCCTACAACGAATACTACGAAGTAGGTTCCTTGCTCGCATTGTCGCCCGCCAGCAACGATGAACTAACCCCATCTTAGTACTATGCTCCCGATTTTGAACTGAACGTCCGCCCATCGAACATGGAGAACTCCAACAGCTTCGAATATCTGGAGAAGATCAAGGCCGCTGTCATCGACAACCTGAGACATACCCAGCCTGCCCCTTCCGTCCAGATGCAAGATGTGCCTCGCCAACCCTTTGGTGGCATGACGGACGAGGAGGAGGCGGAGCTAAACGATATGGACGAAGATGAGAACGCTGACGACCGAATGACACAACGCCGATGGGACCAGCGCACACGCAACGAAGCCGAGTTCGAGGACAGCGATGACGAAGATATGGACCAGGCAAATGGCATGACGCGCCCTCGGAATGCCAAGAAGCGCACCTTTGGTGACTACCGGCAGGCTGAAGGCGAGGTCGACAGTGGGGCGCCCTCGCCCGTGAACGGTGCTCCCGAGGGTGAAGAAGCCCCCAACGCCGAGCCGATTGTGGATGCCGACATTACTCTTGAGAATCCCGCCGAACCCGAAGACACATCCGATAAGACAGTTCCAGAAAAGGAGGCCGCTTCCGAGGCCTCGAAAGAGGATGCTGTCGATGAGGATGGTGATGTCGGCATGGAAGACGGGGCGGATGTCGAGGAGGGCACAACCACAATCAAGAAGGAAGAAGTCGAGGCGGAACCCGTCCCGGTAGCCGAGAAAGAAGAAAAGACGGAGAAGATTCCTTCACGCCAGCCTTCTGCCAACCCTGCAACTGAGCCGCCCGTCGCTGAAACGACAGAGACAACCGAAGCCACCGACGCTGCCAAGGAATCTGCCAAGGAAACAGAGACGGCGGCGAGCAAGGAGACTGAGGTCACCGAGGCTAACGAGTCCAAGCCTGAGGTCGCAGCCGAAGAACCAGCTGCTGAAGCCAAAGCAACTACCCCAGAGAAAGAAAAGGACACTACCGAGAAACCAGAGGCTAAGGCCGCCGAGCCCGAGGTAGACAAGATGGAGGTTGACGAAAAGCCGGCCGAGGAGGAAGCCAAAAAGGAATAGCGATACAAGATGCCCCTTGTTCCTTTTCTTTTCCGCGGTGGCAAAAAACAGAAATGCGGCACACCACCTATGATGCAACGTTGGGTTCTAGTCAGCACGCTCGCGGGAGGGGTGCGAGAGTATCGGGCGTTCAAGGATAGGTATTTGAGGGGATTTCTTAGCATGGAACTCTGGGATTGTTGTTTGTGTGTGGTTTTCGGTGATACTCTCATACACTCCTTGCAAAGTATTGTTCCGGCGGGAGGAGATCGCCGGCTGTATTATAGATAGCCAAGGCGCAGTAGTACCTTGCCAGTAGCGATTTCAGTTAACCTGAGTAATGTGTGGCAGATGATTGATTTTCGCCGAGTGATTCTGTAATTCTACAAGTACGCCTTCTGGTTGAGATAGCTGTCAAATTATACTGATGCGACGATATGCCGGAAGACCTCTCCTCGGGTTTCCAGCTTCTCTCTCGAGATAGAACACCCGAATCCTGCTGCAGGATGTTTCGACCCCGCTCATATTGATTGAGTTCCCAACATCCAACACGCGTGAAGCAACGGGTGGTCTTCTCACTGTAAGATGTCCAGGCTTCTGCTGCCTAGCCTTTTACAATACAAACATACGTTACTTTCGAGGGTTATCTCAGGTTCTCCATTCAGCTATCTACGGTCAATGTCCTACGTCAATTGTTCATAGTCCTTGAATTCCAAACTTCTGTAGCGCCGCCCTGGATCTATCCCGAAACGCCGTACCAGTGATGATGTGATATGATTGAGTATCCCTGTAATCATCGAAGAATCCAATCACCCAAGAAGCAACCCAAAATCCTTCATCATTCCTCATCACAGCTAGCTAGGCTTGTCAGAATCCCCTTTATCCCGAACCAAGCTGCTCCTCGACGCCACGGGAGACACGCCAGGAAGCCGCGGCTGACCTGACGCGTCCCATATGACAGCGCCAAAGTAGCCTCCATCCTCCGGGCTGGGTCCACGGTCGGTATGCCGCCGCGGTGGAGGCTTCAGTGGTGTAGGCAGTTCTGCCTCGGGACCGTCGACGCATAGGAACCGTACGCCTTCCTCGGTCTCGACCCTCGTTAGGGGTATCGTCGTCTCTCGCTGCGGCGAGTCTTCGTATGGGGACGAGTCCTGATACGGTGTGATGTGCACCGCGGGAGGGGGCAGGATCCCGGGGACGTCGCTAAGATCTATCCGCGGATGCGGAGCTCGACCGCCGCCGGCTTCCACGTCGTGATAGATCTCTCTGTGGTCGCTGGTCGGGTGTTCACACGAATCGGTTCGTGAGCGCCTCGTCTTGCTCTTTACCCCGCCGTCGCCGTCGGACTGCGTGTAGAGCTCTGTATCGGCGCTCTCTTCGATGTTGGGTCGGAGGTAGGAGGGCGGTCGCGCTCTCGAGTTCTGCCCGCCGAGTAGAGGGCGGAGGGTCGGGACGCAGAGGCAGATTATGGCGCAGCTTAGCTCTGTTATTGACCAGATTCCGGCAATGACGGTGTTGTATGTTGCATCGGTGGATGTTGATGAGCTCTTCAGCGTTGTGAGGCGGATGACTGAGATCGCGCAAGTGCTGCCAGACATGTCAGCGGAGGCCCCGATAAAGCATATGGCGACTGGCAGAGGAAGACGTACAAGAAGCCGAGTCCAAACGTCGCCATTAGGACCACCTTTTGCCTCATGGGTAGGCGGATTGTCCGCAGCAGCGGCACTGGCATGAGGAAGATGACGATGTCGGTAAAGAGGTTTATCGACGACCCGATGATCCACCAGTCGAGAAGTCTTATGCATCGGCCGGGTACTGTGTGATCCCAGAGGCTCTTGAGTGGGATACAGGCCAGGCAGATTGAAACCACCTGCGATACCCCAAAGGCGATTATAAAGATTAAGAAGATATTACATAACTTTTGGAAGGCCGGTAATGGGAAGACGCGCCGGTACTGAAGAAGAAAGGTTGATTTGATCAATGGGTAGGCCTATTTAGATCGTCAGCTTGTGCCGCCCTCGTAGGACTAGTCCAGGGAGACGCACGACTTGATAGATGGCGACGGCCGTGATTGCGATCTGGATGTCGTGTGAGCTTCTCCTTTCTTCTCAATGCTTACAACCGCGCTGTAACTACCTCTTGAGATTTGAGGAACTTGTCCCTAGGCAAAGAAGCTTGATGTAATCCATCGCCAAAGTGAGTATCTGTATCGTCCAACTAATCAGCACGCGATCTTCCACCTTAGGCCTTATAGAGGCAACCTACTTATGAGCATCAGAAGTCCAACAATGAAGACAAGAACCTTGGTTCCGAACAGTCAGCGGTCAGTGGTCGACTTTGATGCCATCTCGGGTTTGTGAACGCACAGAAGATGCCACCAACGCTGAATCATCCCAGCCCCATTTCCTCAACAGAAAAGCGCGGACGTGGACTCTAAGGGCCGTGACGAAAGTTGAGAGGAATAGTGCCGTGACTGTCATGCCGATTACGAGAGGCTGTCGCGTCTCAGTCGGATCCACTGGGGGGATACCTGGAGTCGCTGCCTTTTCATCGCCTACAGCTATCGAGTCCATCGTCCTTTGTCTCAATTTGGCCCCTCCCCCAAAAGCAGCTCGGCCGCGTGATGTTGTGACCGGGGGCCTTTACTTGTGGAGATGCCTTCGGTTGGTGTTCGAATGTTGCTACGTGCTTCCTATGAAATGCGACATTGAAGCCCGCAAGAAAGGGATCTTAGATCATGGTCTACTGATGCCAGAAGTCGCTGCTTGAGATCGCAAGGCACCATTCACGTTGGAATTTGGTGTTGTAGTGAAGTAGACCATAGGTAGGAATGGCATGGGAGCGAAGAAGCAAGGCAAGCTCAAGTGTTGACAATCCCGGGAACAAGGCACACCAATCTCAATCATACGTCGCCTGGGGAGCGCCCATGATTGAGTTGGAGCTAGGAGCAGAGTTGTCGCGTGTGCCAGGATCACGGAGCGACGAGCACACCTAAGATGGGCGTCTTCTTTGAGTTCACCATGACTCGCTCTCTATCCTGCGCCTTTCGTAATTTGTAAAGCGTAAATCTCGCGATGCTGCGCTGCGTCCCCGGACAATGACGTCGTGGAGTCTTCTGGTTGTAGGACTATACGATGTTTTCAATAGTAAGCGGAGGCACGAATCACAAGATGTGGCTTTCCCCAAGGTTCGGGTTGGCATCTTGAAGGTGACATCGCTACGTTGTGCGTACAGCGATATTTTCTTGGCTCGGCGATGAGGATCACCATTCTTGCCCATCTGTCCCGTTTGTTCTTCTCTGCAGGTTCGGCGCAGGAGATCCGACCGCCGCGGGTCGATGTTCGGGACTGTCGCGCCTATCATATTGCGTCCAGTGAGAGCACACTTTTCCAGGCGTTTCGTTCCCTGCAGCTCTCGAGGCTTTGTGTTTCTCCGACCATGTCGATCTAGACAGTCTTTCCGAATACGTCTAGCCTCGTCTGTTGTTTTCTTCAGACGGACTGGCTGTTTGTTTGAAGTCACGGAACTCAAATTCATGGTGGATGGTTGGCTCAGTTTCTGGGTATCCTCGTCCCATCGACCCATTTGGGATTCGGTGATGACGCCGTGCTGTGTTATGGGAAGATGGTAAACTGGAGGCTGGCATGGATATCCTTCGCAAGCCGGGCATTGAATCATGATAATCGCTGAGCCGCTACTCGATTGAGTCAGTGGCACGTGAAGTTGGCAGCAGACGTTGATATATTGCAAATGCTGGGTTCACTTCAGCGCCGAGAAGATGAGACGTTGTGACTGTGAAAGATGAGGATCTTAGTATCCGTGAAGGCGACAAATACACCCTTGACTTGACGTGGAGTAGCGGCAGGGTGCGTAGTTGAGTGGATGGTATGGGGCGCCATCATCATTGCCGGGGTTTTAGGTGACGTCGATTTCTCATCTGCGCGACGACCGGACCTCAGGTTCCCATCGCTCGGGGATGGAATCGCTGATTTCCAAGCATTATCTTCTTCGTATAAAGTGCAATTCTTGCCTAGTTCGAAGCCGCAAGCATGAGAAGCCGACCAGACGAGGTGTACAGTGAAGGGTAGATGATGAATTCATCCTCGGGGCCTGAACGCAGTGGAGGGGACGACAGGGAATGTGGCTGGTGGCCTCTAGCAAGTCAGTCTAGCCGAATGCGGCACATCATTGTGGCTTGACCTCTTACACCTCAACATCTCAAACTGCACAAATGGGAAGTCGCCCAACAATGGGTTTTCACAACTGAAATATCAGTAGAAAAAGATCGAGCGAACTTGCACCACTATCAGCTCGATTGTCCGATTTGATTCATTAAGAGTCGGAATCAGAATAAGCTGAATAGCCCTGTTAGTTTCGGCGAGCTCCTTCCCACACTGAGACTGCTCTGCCAAGCACGTGACTGTTTGTCAGCCAGGCACGGACAGTACGTACCGGACCAGGCTAGCTCCGCCGCCGGGACCATTTTCGCCAGGCTGCTCAGAGCTGTCGTCAACACCACTCAACTCCACGACCCAGCTGCTTCCATCCGCCTCCATCACCACAACCTACGACCCTCCAAACCGCCACGAACATCTCCCTCCGCGACAGCATTTTGACGACACCAGCTCAAAACTTCACTTTTAAATCTTCATCAACGTCCACATCATCACAATGGAGCGCTTCAGGAACATGCTCCAGTCCCAGGGCCTCGGCGGCCTGGGCAGCCAACCCGGAACGGTAAGAGCATCCCACCCTGTCGAGCTGCCTTGACAGCTCCCATTGCCCACGCCCTCGCAACACTATACTTACGCGGTACTATAGGACAACACACAGCTTATCGACAACTCCGAGACCGTCTACATTTCCTCCCTTGCCCTCCTCAAGATGCTGCGACACGGCCGCGCTGGTGTTCCCATGGAAGTCATGGGTTTGATGCTGGGAGAGTTCGTCGACGACTTCACGGTACGCGTGGTGGATGTTTTCGCCATGCCCCAAAGTGGTACCGGCGTTAGTGTAGAGGCCGTCGACCCTGTTTTCCAGATGAAGATGATGGACATGTTGAGACAAACCGGAAGGTGCGTTCAGACCCCGCCATCCCTACCCTAGCCATATCGCAGTCGCAGACACTGACAAACATATTGCAAACAGACCCGAGGCCGTCGTTGGATGGTACCATTCCCATCCCGGTTTTGGATGCTGGCTTTCATCTGTCGATATCAACACCCAGCAGTCCTTCGAGCAGCTTACCCCGCGTGCTGTCGCCGTCGTCGTCGACCCCATTCAGTCCGTCAAGGGCAAGGTTGTCATCGACGCCTTCCGCCTCATCAACCCTCAGTCTCTTATGCTTGGTCAAGAGCCCCGGCAAAGCACGAGTAACTTGGGCCACCTCAACAAACCCTCAATTCAGGCCCTCATCCACGGCCTCAACAGACACTACTACTCCATCGGCATCAACTACCGAAAGACGGCGCTCGAGGAGAACATGCTCATGAACCTGCACAAGCACGTTTGGACCGAGGCATTGGAGATGAACGACTTCAGACACGAGGGCGAATGCAACAAGGAGCGCTTGGAGCGCCTTGTCAGCCTTGCGGAAGGCTATGAGAAGCGCGTCAAGGAAGAAACCGAATTGACAAAGGACCAGCTCAAGACCCGCTATGTCGGCAAGCTTGACCCCAAGAAGCATTTGGAGGATGTCGGCCAGCAGCTGATTGAGGACAACATCGTGTCCGTCTCGAGACAGATGATCGACAAAGAAGCGACGATGCCCAAAAAGGACGGACCGGCGGGCGGCAAGGATCAATCAAACGGTGACTCGATGGACGTGGAAGAGGAGTTGTGAGGGGGTCAAGCTATGATTCAGGGACGGTCTAAGGCGGGATACAAGGACTTTGCCAGCACTGTATGATTAGGCGTTTAGGTGGACGGGAACGCAACATCTAGAGGACCCGCCAGGCATAAGACGACTATGAACTCAACATTTTGGCCCATGACATGAATGAAGTCTTGTCTGTACAACTTCCCAAGCATCGACCCCTCCAAAAGCCCTGCGCCAGGCGCCATTGGAATTATGTCTGTTCTGGTGACACCGGGCTACGGAAGAATGACGCCTTTGTTGCTTCTTGATCCACGAGCTAAAAGCACTGCGGCGTGCTCAAAGGCGAAGTGCATGCGAAATTGCATTGTTCTCTTACAGTCCCAGAACGTCCGAGAAACACAGATCCAAGTCTCAATCCCATTGTTACCTACAAACCAAACAACAACTTGCTCGCAGCATTTCATCGCTTCTAGGCTTTTCCCGTACATCTACATAAGAACTTGGCTTCATCTCATCCCAAACTCCAGCTAGAGGCAAATCAAGAGGACCCATCACCGAATTTACCCGTTTCCTATTTTCCTGACAACATCATTTCCTTGCCTCCCTGTATTGTATCCTCACGGCATGAAGTCACGCCAAACTGACAAGAGTTCTCGTTTGTGGTCTGTTTTCCGATTACCCGTGTCAACCCGCCTCCGCTTCTCGAGAAACCGCACACAGCGGACAGCTTCTACGACAGGTCTTTTCGATTTCCCGCTCGAAAGTCCACCAGGTTTGACAGATAAGGCATCCTGTCAGCATCGAAGTCGGTTCCCCATTATTGAAGCTTTAAAACGTCTATCCAGCCACTGTCACGGTCCCGCCAGAAACATGGCCTCGTCCACCTCGCAAACGTCTGAACAAAGTGAGAGTCAATCATTGCGATCTAACACACCAAGTAAACCGCATGGCTCTGAAGCCAACGCAGCCCCAGGATCTCCATCAGAATCGTACCTGCAGGTCCCCAGCCCCTCGATCCCAAGACCCGACATAAGCCCTGCATCAACTTACCAAGTCCTGCAACGTCTCGGGAGCACCTTCTCACACGTACAGTATGCTGTTTGCGGCGACGCGGCGCTGATAGCATACGGCCATGACACCCGCTCCGTGTCTTACGTCACAATCATCTGCCCGGCCTACGCCCAAGAGGTCATGAAGGCCTGGGCAGCTGCTACCAGCGGCATGCTCAACTACCCAGGCGAACCAGACACCCTCGGCGTCTCCGACGAAGAAGGTCAGGTGTGGCCGGTGAAGATGAGGACCATGGCGTTTGAGCGCAGCTTTGAGACGCTGCCAACTGTGAGTCTCTGTTTCGGTGACGACTCCTCTTCCACAACCATCTTGACCATGCCGGCTCTGGTTAACGAGATTGCGCTTTCGTATGTTGTTGACAGGCATATAGAGGAAGAGGGGTTCCTGGATGAGCTTGCAGTAGACCTGGTCTGGCTGTTGCAGAATATCATCGAAGACGGCAGTCCAAAGCAAACTCTCAATGCGCAGAGCGCACCCGCCATCAGCAACCCTATTTTCTGGTATGATTTTACAGATGCGTATCCCGAACTAGCTGGACTTTTCTACGATGCTGGATATCGACCTGAGGGGTCTGAGGTAGATGTGAGCCAGGTGAGTGATGTGATACCGGCTGAGCTACAATCTTTACCGCTGAGAGAGATCATTGCGAGAGGTAGGAGTCGTCCTGGCGGCAAGCCCGATGCCAAGCTGCGGCGCCAAGTGCTGGAGGGGCCGAACTTGACTAGGGCGGAGCTGAGGAAGGTGATTCGGGATCATCCGTCGTCCAGGCGCAGGTCATCGGGTCGTGGAGATGTGGATGACCAATCAAGGACTCCTCGTTCCTACAGCCGTAGGCCTTTGAAGAGACACCAGAGTCAAGAAGTCCCCTCGTCGGTGGTGCCTTTTGGAGACAAGATTTCAAACTTGTTATTTGGACGCCCGGACGGCTCTAGAACCAAACATTCGAAAAAGTGACTGTGATTGCTACAATGAAAGTAACGATTTTGGAATTGGGGTGCCATCTCTTTCTCTTTTTCCTGTTCTACAGCACCTGTTTACTTTGAAATGACTTCCCCATCCCTTTGTAGTGTCAGTCCAAGTACCGGTATGACCCGTGAGTAGAATACTATTATCGCTGTTGTTGGCTGATCAAGTCACGATTTGTGATTGTCAAAAATGCTTTCAAACTCAAATCGATTCACTTGCCATCATGCTTCTGCAGAGGCGCTCTCTATGCCCCGAGGGCTTTTACAAAGAAGAAGCCCAGATGTTCTGGTCTAATGTTCCATAATTCCCTTCTAACTTGAACGCCGTTATCCCTTGACTGTGTAGACCAACCCGGTCTCTTTGTATTATACTCGCTTGTGAAAAAGACCAAAAACAAATGAAATTTGTAATCCCATCCCAATTCGCCCCGCTGGAAATGCTGAATCGCTCAGAAAGTCCTCTTCAATTCAAAGGTCCATATCACCTCCAACTCATTGCCTTTGCTGGTACTGGTACTGGTTGTGGTACTGGTTGTGGTACTGCTGGCTCTGCTGGTATTGTTGAGGGTGCTGCTGCTGGTATTGTTGCTGGTACTGCTGCTGGTACTGCTGAGCATAGTGCTGGCCGTAAGGAGGTGCGTCGTATTGGTTGCTCTGCTGGCTGTTGTTGAAATGTACGGGGGCGACGGCGGGACGGGGAGCAGGGGAGGAAGTCTGGGGCTTGCTCTGCTGCTGGATCTCGATGCGCTCGGCGGACTGGCCGGCCTCGCTGTCGCTGCTGCTGCCGAGGGCGGTCTGCTTCATGGATCCGCGGCGGACTCCGTTGGCCTTGAAGTAGCGGAAGTCGAGCCAGGCGATGATGGTGGCGTAGCCGGCGACGATGCTGAGGAGGATGCCCATGACGACGACGATCCAGCCAATGGTGCAGCTGACGCCCATGCAGGATTGTTGTGTGTTGCCCTGGATGCCCATGTAGGCGACCGCGGCCCAGAAGACGACTTCCATGCCGTTGAGAATGAGGTTGGCTTTCAGGCTAGCCCATCGCTTGAAGGAGGAGACGTGCTCGGTGAGCACTTGGTATGCGATGATGATGAGAGACTTTGCGGCCTGGAGTTGAGGAAAGTTTGTGTTAGTTGATAGCTTGGTTTGTGGGGTAAAAGAAGCTTAAGACTTACCATGCCGAGAGCCATGGTACCGGATCTACCCCTGGGGCGGTTGGGGAGGAAGATGCGTGCCACTGAGAGACTGAGAGCTGCGATGACCAGGGCAAGCTGGACCATGTGGATGGGGAACTTGAGCTTGGAGTCGAAGAGGCCCATTGTGAAGGTTTGGGAGGAGGACTGGAGTTGGTGTTGGTTCGGATGGTCTTTGATGAGAAATATTCAAAGTCGAGATCGAGAGACTGTTTGTGTGGTGATGATGGTGATAATGGTGTTGGTTGTGTTGATTGTATTGTATTGAAAAGAAGACGGCAACAACATCCGGATTACAGTCAATCTATATACAAACATCTCGCATTCTGTAGCATCTCGCATTTACACGTATTGACCGTATCCTGAAAGAAATTTCGATACTCATTCCCATAGTGTCGGGCCTACCTCAACACAGCCGCCCGCTGCGCATTGTGTAAGAATGCCTTCGGTCTCGGTTCACGGGTGCGAACACTTTTTTCCTCTCTTTGCTGTGCAGTCAGACACCGCAGATTACACGTATTTACTTACTCTATCTGACTATAGTTGCTGGGGAACTTGGAATGGGGGAAAAGATCAAAGTAGCACAGCCCCGGCGCCCCCAGGCGAACGGCACTTCGGTCTCGGTTTCCCACTTCTTCTCTGACAAAGCCACGAAGAAAACTGGCACTAGAGAATCGGAGCACCAACAACCTTATGGCCTAAGCATACGCGTATCCACCCAATAAAGTTATCTATGTCTCTGCTGCTTCGAGACCTTGGGCCTTCGCCTCCTTCTTCTCCCCTCCATGCTTCTGTCGTCTCCATATCCGTAGAAGCCTCAAACCAGTGGGCTGGGCGGTTCGCGCCAAGGAGGCTTGACACTTGTCATCGCAACTCCCCGAAACCCCATAAACATGGCTCTTAGCGCCGCCGCCGCCGCCTCCCCCTTTCCATGCTTTGGAGGCTGGACGAGGTTCTGGTTCCCGGGTGTGGGAAACGCTGACGGGGATTACGGGCCTTCAGGCTTCGAGACGCGCTTCGGGAATCTGCCCTCTGGCGCCATAGGAAAATGCGCCTTGCCATGATGTGGAGACGGGAAAGCGAGGTGCATGGGCGCTAGCGAAATGCTTATTGCGTTCTGAGGCTGGGAGGACTTCGGTTTCTCTAGTCTCGGCCACGTTTTTCTCGGGTTTGAGATTTCTTTCATCTTGATAATCAGGCTCTCTTGCTGTTTATACCTGATACAGTTTCGCAGCGTCGCATTGAGTCGTGTCGGATCTGCAAGGCGTTATGATTATCTAATCTTTGACGGATGTTCTCCATCATCCCTTAACAATTGACTCCCAGCTAATCGAGATGGAAATAATCGCAACGTAAGACATTCGTCGGCATTGTCTCTCTGTCAGTCAATATTTCTGCTAACAGTACGCTTCATAGACACGTTGGTGCGGGACAAAACCACCCAAACAACCATGATTGCGTACTTTGCAGCTGGCATCAAAACCTATGACGGTGTCGAACCTACTGTCATTTCTTCTTGACTTTCGTCCATCGGGAAGATTACAATTAAAGAAGCTTGCGGCCTTTTCCTACAAGTCTTGTTTACAAACAATGAGAATTGACTTTGGCAGTTGCTAGAGCGCCCGACTTCGACCTGAACGAAGCCTCGACGAACGACGTACGAACTCCGAAGATCCGTAACGTAACCATCGCGACATGGAGTCATGGAAACTTAAACATCATCGATCGACTATCTAGCGCCCTTCGCCGGCCGCTGATTTTTCACAGTATTGAGATGACCCTGCCGGAATCGCAGAGTGATTTGCATCGCAATATGTCCCAGGGGAAGGGTTGCCGAGAATCCTTGTTGGTATAGCACCAGGCTCTTCCAATCTTGACATTGCTCCAGCACATTCGGTGTTTGGACAATGCGATTGGATTGATGCTGGCCAGCGCCGCAAGATGCATCGGACCATGAGAGTCAGAGAAGCAAGAGATGAGTAATAGTCGAGGGGGCTAGCGTTTGCTGAGTTTGGACGTTTAACTCAAAAGTCGCCGGACTTGCCGCTACGCACTGCTGCTGGCTCAATCTGAACTTTGAGTTCATGGTGTGCGGTCATGGGATGAACTGTTGCAACTACTAGACCAAAGGAACTCCTACAACACGATTTGTCGAGACAATTTAGGAGACGCTTGTTGTCACGAATAACTTGGATTGACTTCAATTCTACTTGTGTGGACCTCAGAGAACCACACAGATAGCTGATCTCCCATGCTGAAGGATCCTTTGTAGTGGTTAACCGTCTGTTGCAGATATCTGGCTTGATTCAGCGAAGCAATCTCGTTACCTTCAAAAAGTCCTCCGACCGTCCACTTCTTCAATGTTCAAGTGTGTACCCTATCCTGCCACATAATTTCAGGGAGGCAGAATTGTGATAGCTTGCCTCCCACTTGTATGTGTTGAAGGTGCTTGAGTAATAAGTTTAAGTGTCCTGCCCCTTCCTCTATCTTGGTCAAGACACCATTTACCGCTGGACTCCACGTTTTGCTGCGGTCCTTTCTGCTGATGACATTGACCATGATGACCTTTGAGAGCTTTTCTGTATCTTTTTCTAGTAAAAGGCGCTTCTCAAAAAAGGCTTGGAAATCTTTGAACAGAGTCTCTGCGATGCGGCGAGCAATCTGGGTTTGCCAGGGCACGGGATATGCATCGCGCCGCCCGACTGTCAGGACTGGGAGCCTCCAGAAGCTGTATCCGCACGGCAGGTATAGAGCTTCGAGAAGCATTGATTCAGATAAGAGGTCGCCGATTCTAACAGTCAATTTTCGGTATGGATCGCGGGAGGGAGCCATCAGGAACGAGTGGTCTGGGTCGTATATATGCCACGGATCAATATGCAATGGATCTAACCACGGTCCTATAGAGGCTTGTTCGTAACAGCAGTCCCCCTCAATCATGAGGCTTCGTAAGGCTGTTCGGTTTGCGGGCCCAATCATTTCGAGCCACAGAATCAGTGTCGGGTCGTCCTCCAATCCAAAGGCATTGTTGTTGTAAAACATGAACGACGTCTCGTGGCGAATCTTCTTGCAAGTCTGCAGGAGCTCAGTAACAGGATGCGTGTCTCGGTTTGCTAGTTTGCAGTTTTGATGGTGAAGGGTGGCGAGCTTTCTTCTATTGGTACATCCTTCCTTATGAGAGATTCTGGTGATCGAAATTACATCGCAACACACAAGAGCGAACTCGTAGATCTTGGTTCGAAGCTCAGGGGGCAAGTCTCTGCATGGCAAAGTCAGTCGTTGGTTTCTAATGACCGATATGTTTGGGACTTACAAAAACCGAAATGGCTTGAAATAACGTGCTAAACTCTGAGATTGCTAGATGAGGATTTAGTTGAAAGCCAAATGCTTCGCCTTTGTGTCTTCCGACTGTTGTGCGAAGAGGGCCGTACCTTGCGAAGCTTTTTTACTCCCCGAAGTCTAGACTTCGTTTTGCGCGAGGTTTTGCAGCTCATGGGTGAAGATGTTGCCTAGAAACCAAGGGGTCAGGGGATGTGAAGCAGACGTTCGAATGTGGTAGGGCCCCCTTTCCATCTTACTTACCTAGCTCAGGTAGGCGCCGGGTTTTGTAGAATGTTTCTTCCAGTCAAAGATTGATGCCTGCGTGTGTGTTTTCAGGAGGGAAAATTCTTCTTCTACAAACGGCGAGGAAAAGGTTTGCTGACTGTTGTGCGCACCATTGCGAGTGTGTGGCGGTTGTCGCCCGCGTGCTCGTCCAACCGCATGGGTCTACGTGCATCCTACCACTAACAAAAAGCATCATGAACTCAAATAATCGAGCAAAATATCCCATCCCTTCGTGAGAAGCCTGCGAAAATCCGTAACTGTTACCAGCCTCAGGCGCACACGTAGCAATGCATGGACTTTTCACGAGATTCGAAGTTGCGCCTTTTTGAAGTAGGGCAATATGCTCTCGATGTTCCCCGCTACCGCAAAGTCCTTGATAATATAACACATTCTTTCTCTTGACTGTAGAATAGCAAGGGCAGGTGGTAGGTCCCGGATAATTTGGTGAGTTGGAACATCTTTGGCAACACATCTGGTGAAACCGTGAAATCCATCGAGGTCACTTATTAGGCAGGCTCGTAAGAAAGTGACCGAGTTCGAGACACCTTATGACTCCAGGTCAAAGTTTTATTAGAAACACAAATCAAATGTCCCAAGAAAACCACCTTATCAAACCAAGGTACTGGAGGTGATTTGTCGTGACGGCCTCACCCATCTGCCGCTTCACCGAGCGTCGCCTAAACAAAATAGGTCGCTCACCGAGGTCTACCCACCGAAGGGTTTGCTCTTCCGACCGTGTGCCCTTGCGACCAGTATACATATATCTTGCTTCTCATTGAATGGCGCTTTCTATTCCAATATTGATGAGCATATCGTGGCCAGGCGATGAACCTTTCGTCGGACCCATCAGCTAGGTACGCCGTTGAAGCTTCTTTTGGCGACGCCGGAGATTCTTCTTCCGACTTCTCCCAAGCAGCAGCTCCATGTGATCAGAGAATGATGCATGTGCTTCATCCAAGTCTTCGTCTTTCAAGATTGGTTCAGGAGGAACAGCCCTGCGAACGTGGATAACATACCAGGCAACATAAGCAAATTTATCAAGCACCAACAAGAAAGAGAGCCCCTGAGGATTCCGACTGCGGAAAGATGGACTACAAAGGAGGGGACGAAAGAATGTGAACACCCATTCAGCCATGTGACGGGATGCAGTGACCAGCAGACTTGCCTGCCCATCTCTGTGAAGCTTGAGGCGTTTGCTGACGTCTATCATGCCATCGAATCCAAGATAGCACACCTGAATTTGCTTGAGATTTGGAGAGTTTTCAAGCATTGAAGCGATCCTAGCCATGATCGATTCCTGTCGACCAGATATGATTGGGTCTGGACAAGTGCTTGGTCGAGTTAAAGTAATTTCGCGTAGATGCCGTCTGTTGTCCGGGCCAATGTCGTGTAGCCAGACGAGAAGCGTCTCTTCTTCCGGAAATTTGAAAGTTCGAGAGTAGATAATGCCACGTGCTTCAGACAAAACTTTCTTGCAAGTACGAAGCATCCATAGGCTTACCTTGTACCCAGAATAGCAATGACTGGGCCTTCCCTGCCGCAACGAGAAGACCTTTCGTTTCGAGGGTATACCTATAGAGACGAAACTGCCAACGATACAGAAATAGCTTGGAGAGGCTAGAACAGTCATGTAAATAATGTTTCGAATCTCTCGGGGCAGGTGTCTTTTGCATTTCAGTATTAGCGATATTGGCAAACAATTACATAAGAGCTCGAGCTGCAGAACTGACAGAAAGGACAAGCGTTTCGGCCCAGAACCGCCGTCATGCGCATTCTATACGGCATGTCAGTCAAGGTAGGCATCTTGTTAATGTTAGAAAAAAACTCAAACGGACCCCCTCAGGTAATGTGATCGAAGAGACCTGGCTGTCCCGTCGCTGAGGCCCGCCGCTCGAAGTTGAGGCGACCGAGGACGAGGCCATATCGACGGAAGTTGAGAAGATGACCTGCAGGCTTGTTATCTGACTGTCATTTTGAAAAGTTAGCTGATATTTTAAAAGGAAAGTATCAGCATATAGTTGCTTACTACTTGTATGGTTTGATGCTTGTACTGCTGCGTCAAACTGGGGGCTGTAGATGGGCGGTTCTTGCTGGGTAGTAATGGCTTGCTGCTTTGATATAAATGACAAGTCCAACTCCGTTTCTCTGCTGCCTTGAATGTCCTTGGGACTCAAAAAGTTCTCTTTGCTTCTGTTTTTCTTTCATAGCGGCTTTGCGTCGTGTTTCACCTGGAGCGCGCGTTCGAGTTGCAAAACGCACATTTGGTCGTGAAAGCAGAGACACTGGAAAAGCTTCAGCGATGATGTTGTTTCCGAAGACAAAGAAGTGAACGTGACTGTATCGCTTCAACCTGAAGACTGTATTCAAAATATACAGTATCATTCAAGACGCCTTCAGAACAGGCAAAGCCATCATGACTCTAGCTACCTTATCTTCTCTGTGTAGTACCACCTCCTATTTGCACAGGCCGCTGGCTTCTTCAAGACCAAGCTAGTCATATATTCTAGTGTGGCGACTAGCTGCCTGGTTGAATCGTCTTCCGGTTCGATATCCCAGACGGGATTCGAGGTTTCTCCTCAGAAGCAGCCTCAGATGCTCTACAACTTCCTCTTCGGCTCCTCTTGCCTCTTTGGCATTGAGTTTCTGCGGAATCGATGCGTGCCGATAACACCACGAGTTATTCCGGTTGACTTGTAAGACATGGCACAGTCTTTCCAGACTGTGACCACGAGATAGACCTTTGGAGTACACCAATCGGAAGTCATGGTACAATATCTCCGCAACCCGGGGCGCGACTCCAATCCAGCCAGAAACAGGTCTAGGTCGCTTGAGAGTTGCTCTTGAAGCCGGACCAGCAAGCATACATGTAAGATTGTTAAAAGATTGCATCCGCAGAGTCTGGAGATTTTCGGCAGCAGCCAACATCCTCGCAGCCCTACAACACAGTTCTCGATTACGGGTCTGCTGAGTCCTGTATCTGCTTGAAGTTGATGACGGCTATCACATCTGCGGCTCGGTCTGGAATACAATGGTTCGTACGCAGGTCATGTTGGTTCCCAAGTCTTCGAGCCAGACGACGAGCGTCTCCATGTCTTGCACATCGAAGTAGTTGGCGTAGAGTATCGCGCGCACTTCGGCATGGACTTGCCTGCAGGGTCCGAGAAAGGCAACCGGGAAGGACTTGGTTATTCTCCGTGAATCATGGTGTCGCACATTCTTGCGCTTCCATCGGAATCTAGAACGGCCACGAGTGTAGCTATGGACCGCCTTAGCAGTGATCGTGACGGTAGCACGGGTGAAGGCGATACTGTATATCTTATTACGTGATTCTGGTGGGATGCGGCTTTTGTTTACAACGATGTTAATGTAATTCTCGAGTTCAAAGATGTTTGGTTGAAGTCTGAACTCGGCAACGGTGACTCGTCTTTCTTGGACTCTTCAGTTCTCAATCTCTGTGGCCGCTGTCCTTTCAAGTCTGACACAGCCGTTTTTGAGTGAACGAAGGCCCATCACCTTTGGAGGTGGCTGCTGGGAAGAATCAGGAGAAGATTCGGAACGTTCTCGCTTGTTGGACAGACTCTGGGAGTAATCAGATGGCTGTTCAGCTTCCTTCGATTCAATGAGAGCATTAGGCATGCAAGGATATCATCAATTCTCTATGACAGAGTCTCATAGAGATAAACCTACCTCAGAGACATGGCAGCTGATATCGAAGCGGGGTCTGGTCTAGGGTACATGATTATTGTGTTGTCCGCTGAGGGGGCCGTGTTGACAATTTGAGAGGTAAATGTTGTAAACCTAATGTTGATTGACTGTGAGATGACTCAATCAGGCGCAGGAGAATGGCCTGAACGAGAATCAGTGTCTCAGATTCTAATTTAAGGCTCTATAGACTGGCAAGAGATTCCTCCAACTCGAAGCAATTGCGAGACATTTCTACCGCCTGCTAGACATAAAGGATGTCTCAATTTGAATCTACAGTTCTGTGGTAGAAGTGGCTCGTTGTAGGAGCCCTTCCAAGCCTTTCCTTGAGGAGCTCGCCCACAAAGCCAAGCCCGAAAAGCCTTTAAACACCCTTGTGTCAAACGGCATTGGTGAGCGTAGCTGAGAAACCTCGCATTGAACAATGACAAGAAGAGTCTAGAGTTGGGTCTTGGCATTTGGACTTAGTGCTTCTATGTTCCAAGAGCTCAGCAATGAGTCTGATCGCCTGAGCTAAGCATATCTCCTTCGCAGGTTTTGAGAAGAGCCAGTGGAAATAAACGAAGACCCCAAAGGAGTTGAGCACACCAGATTTGTCTCTGTAGATGCACTCTTCATCTGCAATACTTGAGATTTTTAATCTCAGAAATAATCCAGAAGTTTCGAGACTCTCTCTTTGAAGGGGCGAATGAGGAATCTTGCTCGTCAAATTGTTTTCACAATCGCCTAATTACGGGGACATGTGGGGAGCGATGGATCCAAGGTGCTAATTCGCCGTACAGATGCTCTATTGTTGAGACAATCCTGTTGACAATGTTGAACCTCAAGGTCTAGACTTCTTCCTATGACTCGGGAAATCAGCCGGTATTAAGCTTCAAGACTCTGTGAGACTTCGCAAATGCGGCGGGGGCAGTCCGAACGGCCTGGCCCGTCTGACTTTCTGCAGTGGATTCTGCAGCGGGCACTTCCATCTTGAAGGCGCCCGCAATAAGCCCACCCGAACCCATATTTTAGGGAATGATTCGCGGTACCTAGTTCAACCAAGTGCCCTCAAGACTCCATCAAGTCCTATTTATGTGATCAGACTCGACCCTTTAGGCTTTTCATTGCTTTCTAAGGCTCTCGAGTCGTAACGGAGCTTAAGATCCGGCTCCTCGTTTTCGCTGTCTTATCTCCCCGTCTCCCTTCTCAGATGGACAAGTAGATATCGGAATCACACCGAAAGTCCCGTCAACTGGCGATCTTTCCAACAGGCCAGCGAGTCAGCCAGTGTACGAGACTTCTGACAGCCCTTTACTCACATTTGCGCCTCTCAGGGCAGGGCGTCGCTGCTTTATTCGGACATATACCTACATGGATTTGTGTGTAATGGCTTCCCCGGGGTCCACGTATGCGACTGTCAGCCATTTGGTTGGAGACGCGTGAATGGCATTCTCCAAGGGCTGAGATCTTGGCAACTCCATTGTATTCGTACTTGGCCTCCTTTGAGCGAGATGCTATATCACAAAATGTTGAGGTCACAAGCAGATCGAATTCCACGTTCCCCATGCGTTCAAGCAATCAATGTCCTAGCTAAAACCGTCAAGGCCCCGTTCTGACCTTTTGCGCAATGCCGATGATATCCTCTTCTGCCTTGCGTTTGTCACGACTTCGCTCTCCTAGAATCTCCACTTCAGGTTCCGCCCTATTGCCCTCACCGAAATTCCCCATTGTCAAAGGGCTGTATTCCAATACGGCCACGTGTTGCTCCTCATGACGACCTTCCACGTCGCCAACGCGTTGGCAGCAGCTCCATCTGAAGCCCTCTGGAACATCAGCTCGAGATTCTTCGCTGTCCATTTCGTAAAACTGTCCAATGTCGTCGATCGTGCCCCAGACCTCTAGGTCTTTGTCCAATTCAAAGTCTCCTATACGCACGTCAGCGTAATGTCCTTTCGTAACTCGCCAAGCACGTGCAGTCACACGAAGCTTTACATTCCCCGCGCATTCCGGATACGGCATTGACTGTGGAATTCCATCATACTGACAAGGGTGATAACGACATGCATCAGGAGCGTTCCTGTTGACATCAAATTTTCCTTACAGTTGGCGCAGACATCCGTCCTTGGCATCTTCTGCAACAGGTCAACGGCTCGCCGGCGGACCCACTCATCCTCCCTGCAGAGTGCGAACAATACCTTTCAAGCATCGGTGCCCGAAATGGCTTCCAACATGGCGACCGTTTCCCGATTCGGGGCGGCGCTCTGTTCGGCTCGCAGTCTTACTTGATCAACCATTGATTTCTTGGTTGCCGTTGGCGTGTCGCGCCGGTAGTTTGGTGGTTTCTTCGGGCCGGGAAAAAAGTATTTTGCGATATCGGACTTCAACAGGGATAAATTGGTGTTTAGCACGGATTTGACTCTGTAGACCACCCTTTGGTACAGTCGGCAAGTACCTAGAGTTAGTAGTCGGAATTAGTAGTCGAGTTTATCCGAGTAAGCGCGGATGAAATGTGATATCTGAAAAGTGAGTACCTTAACCAAATTCCAAGCAACTTGCTCGACGTTACAGATGGTCCGCAAGCTTTGCCTTTCGTAGACATTCGAGAGGCTTCTACGTTAGCAACTAACTGCGTACACTCTAGAAGTGCCATCTAGACCGCACCCACTTGGTGTACTCCGTGGAGTCCCACAACTACTCACCCCAACCCGGAATGACGGGGATGCAAACCAGTTTCCAAAAGGGTTCACCGGGGTCACTTTCCTCCTTTTAGGAATCATGTTCATTCTTGTTTATCATAATTGAACGGCCGGGGGGGTTTTCACTCAACTCCCACAGACACCCGTTTCTTTTACCCGTACCCGTCTTCCCTCCCCCCGTGCCTCCCCCGGCCTCCCGTAGATCAGGGTTTGCCGGGGAATCTCGGATGGTAAGGGTCATCCCTGCTCGCCAGGTGGCCTCATTGGATTCCTCGCACGCAGAGCCCTGCTGTGGCACCGCAGGCTTACGGCTCTCCAGTCTCTAGAGTCCAGAGTACAGGGCATTTACCCATGGCCCCCAGGGGCGGTCCAGCGGCTGATTAGCTGACGAAAGGCAAGTAGCCTGTAGGCGGTGCGTCTTGTGTCCCCCAAGAACCACACACACGCTCTCTCTTTCACTCTGGTCCGGGTTTTGGGGGAGATATTTCCTGTGCGACCACCGGGAGCGAGCCTACTGGTTCATTCGGTCTGGCGTCTGTACTCCGTACTTGCGTTGCTGGCTAGCAAGCTTCATATTTCCTGGGGCGGGCTGGCTAGGCTGCTTCTGGTGTCCCTTGCAGATTCGAGCGCTTGCTGCAGATGATATCGGACCGCTCTGGGCAGGACGCTTCCGGTTCGTCTCACCACCGCATCGTTGTCGTCGTCGGCGAACCATGCGAATTCCGCCACCGCCAGTCCCATGAGGCGAAAATGCGAGCCATCTCGATCCTGGGAATGCCGCCTTCATTGGGCAGCGCGCTGTTTTTCTCACCTCATCAATGATCAGTACATGTCACCGATGGTTTTGTAATTTGGCTCGTGGAAACGAGAAGTAAGGTAAATTGCATCGCTGGCAAACTTGGGCTTGCCCCGTTCGTCTGTCTAAATCGACGTTCTCTGCGTGCTGGGGACTATCTTCACCCCGTTCTTTTTGCTGCCCCCTTTCTCCCCCCAAGTGGCCCTCGATTCATTGATTCTTCCACCACTGAGATACAGTTGATATGCTCTTACGTTCTGCCTCCATTATTCGTGATGTCTTTGAAATACGAGGATACTCTCATGCAAGGCAATGAAATGCCAGCCTGGCCAATAAGTCAGGTACAGAGTGGCCGGTTGGGCAAAAAAGCTGCCCCCAAAGTAGGTATAGTAGTGTCGCCCCCTCCAACTTGTTGTCCGACCAATTCCAATGTTGCTTGCTCGCTTCATCCATCAAATGTCTTGTTGTATCAAACTTGCCAAATGCTATGCCTGACCCTTCTCCCAGGAAAATGCTTTGCTTTGCTTCGCTCTGCTCCGCTCCGAATTTTTAAAACTTGTGCCCGACTGCCGCTTTGACTCCCTTCCAGTCTGTTCACAGCCCTGCCAGCACCTTAAAAAAAATCCATTTCAATCTCGCGTGGCCTTGTCGACCGGTTGACCGACCACCATCGGTCGGGAGGCCGGGAGCCCATCCGATTGACCGAAACCGTAATAATTTCCTTGACCGGTCTACCAAAACCAGTCTCGTCCGTAAGGCCGAAAGGAGGGGAACCATGGAAGCGAGTTCGTTTCTGACATGGAGCATAAAACATGTCCTTAAAATAATAAACAATCCAAAAAAAACCTTTTTCGAACGTCATTGCTGTTGGTGGTGGTGGTGATGGTGCGTTGTCGTCGTCGTCGTTGTTGTTGCGGTTGCCGTTCTCACAGTCATCGTTGCCGTCGTCGCCTTGCGGTCAGCGTCCGTCGGTGAGCTCGAGATCGTGTAGTGTTGCTGGTGCGGCGGCGGTCCCAGTTCCTGCGACGAGGCGTCGTCGAGCTCCAGCGGATCGTCCTCGAGGTCGGACAGCTCGTTGCCGCGGCCCTTTTTGCTCCTGTCCGGGTTGGCCTCGTGCGTGCCGCGCACGCAGCCTTGCCTGTCGCCTAGTCTCTGGCAGCAGCACCATCGGAACGCTGCGGGATACTCTAGGCGGTTGGAATCTGTGTCTAGCTCGTCTGACGATACGTCGTCCCAGATTGTTGGTGGTATTTGCGTCTCATCCCAAAGCTCTAGCTCGCCTAAACGGAGGGGTGGGTGCACGAGTCAGTATGACCCTTCAATCATGAGAGTGAGATATCCTTCTGACAGCTTGTACAGCGTAGTACTTCCGCTGGGAAAAGAAGATGCACGGCATGGAAATGAGGCAACAATAGACTTTGGAAGGAGATGAAGAAGCTCTGCCAGTCTCTTGTTGCTTCTGCTTCTGCTGCTGTTGCTGGGTTTCCATGCTCTGCTTGCTTGCTTACCTGAGTGGTACCAACATGAACCAAAGCTGTTCTCGTCGGCCGTGAAGATGCCGTCGCACTGAACACAGATCTTGGGCTCGCCGGTTGCCTTCCTCTTTTTTGGATTTGACGGACTTGAGATGGAATTGGGGCTCCTCTTGACACCATCCTCCTTCTCTTCCTCGCGGACATCGGCCTCAAAGCGCAGCAGCCGCTCAAGCTGCCTCAACGCCTGGGCTCGGACCCGTCGGTCATCGCAGAGAGCCACGAGGATGGCGCGAGCGACGGGCGCTGGCGCCTGGGCGAGGCCGTCGAGGTCCGGGGCGGCAGCGGCAGCGGCGAAGAAGGAGGACGACGGCGAGTCAACGGGCGACGATGCAAAAGCCATTGCCGGGATGATAGGGGACGGCGGACGGGCGGACGGGGACCGTGGACGACGGGGAGACGACGCCGTTTGGGTCGATGGTTTAAGAAAAAGGTTCATTGAGGCTCTCTACAGCCTCGGAAGGGGGGGGTATTTCTGGGTTCTGGGTTCTGTTGCCGGAAGCCCTTCCCCGGATGTGTCAGCTCACGGATGCATTAGCAACAAAGTGAGTCTTCAAGGGGGTGGTGGGTAGGTTGATTGGAGGTCGGCCGTGTCCGAGGAAGAAGGGGGAATGAATGGGACGGGGGATGCGGGTGCGGTGGCCGGTCCTGCAGGTCAGGTTATTGACGGCAAGGCGAAGGCCAAGGTGGATGGATAGATGTATCCGTAGGGGCGTACGTGGACGAGTTGCCAGTCGATCCGTCGTACCACCGGGTAGCAGAGGCAGCAAAAGAAGGGCAAGCGCGAGAGTGAGAGAGAAACACGAGACGCACAGAAGTGAGCAAGAGAGCTCAGAGATAGGTACGGATGGAGAAGAGTGGGACGGGGGAGTAGGAAGTAAGAGATGCGGCCCTTCTGCCGGCCGGCCGGTCCTGTCGGTCCAACTCTACTTTAGCTTGTTGGGATCTGCTTTGCTGGGAAGTATGTCAAGACTAACAAGGGCCCAGGTGCTGGATCATGGATGCGTATGGTATGGATTTTGGATATGGCTGGCTGAGGGGACGTGATGAGATGGAGGGGAGGGGCCCGGCCGGGGGTTAGAATCACATAGCTCCAGCAATCCCATGGTTGTAGCATGTGCATTGCCGGGAGACGGAGACGGAGGACCCTCTCACTCCTCTCACGCTCCATGTCGACACTTGTCGGGAGGGTGGTGTGGGTGAGTACAGTCCATGACCTCAGAGACGAAGAGAGCAGAATGCCGCCAGCGGCGACTTGCGGGGTCAGAGGCTAGAAGCATTAGGGTGTGTATTCGACATCCAGGGCTGTTCCGCTGCAAGATGCCCGTTTGAGCGATGAGGAAGGGATACAGGGGCCGGCTCGTGACCATTGACCAACTTCTGTCATATTTTCGAGGCGATACTTCCAGGCCTAGCCGTTCCTTGGATCATAAAGTATGTGGTGGCCGCCGCCGAACCATGCCATGCGATGCCATGCCATACTTTTTCGTTATTTTGCCCTTACGGGCCCCCATGCCAAACCGTTCCATGCTCCATACCATGGCCGGCCAGACCAGACTGGACGCGAAGTCGACCTAACCAAACCGAAGCAGAACCAGGGGGGGGGAGGACGGGGGATATGATCTGGTGCTATGTATGCAGTGCCATGTCTCGCAAATTGGCTTGACTCTGGCTGCGAGTGGTGGTGACTTTGCCAGCAAATCACGGCTCTCGGAGTGCCACGACAACAGAACATTTGAACCCTTCAACTATTATTCTTCCCACCCCGCCAGGCTTGCCGCTTTGCAGGGCCCTGCCGAGCCTGTTGAGAAAAAGGTAAAACCAGAACGGGAGATTTGGCCGTGCGGCCCTCTGGGAACCAAGGTAATATCTGGTGTTCCCGTCTCCGTGCCCCGTCCCACGGTCCTGCTGCTACCAATCCCGAACTGGGAACCAGAGGAGATCAGTGGATGCACGATGTGCATGGCGTCATGTACGACTGTATAGATGCAGGCACCGATGTCTGCCGCGGCGTCGGCGTCGCAAGGGAACTGGGAACTGGGGGTGGGAGGGGGCAAGCTTCAAGAGAGGAAGAGACGGCGGGAAACTCTGGGAAACAAGACAAGATTACCTACTGTTAGGGCTGCCCGGGTTGGTTTGGATGGGTAATATTAAATGGGGGTTGAAGCGTGAATCGAATTTTGGGTGCGGCAAGCGCGCGTAGCGACGGAAAATCCAAACTTGGCCTCAGCTTCTTGCCAGGGACCATCGGGAACCAAGAATGGACTTGGACTGGATGATTCATGTGTGGACGGTCGACGGCCGGGGGGTGTGAGCGGACAGGCTCGGCAAGCACACACACCAAATCTTAGTCTCTCAGTCCTCATACTCTGTTTCCCTCTCTTCCTCTCAGCTCTTCTCATTACGGGCTGGTATACATAGTAACACACAGACAAGACTAAGAGACTTTATACTCACATTACACTAGTCGGGCAATAAAGCTAACGGCCGTCGATGACACTAACATCGGGATCGTATCACCATCGCCAAACCTATGGGGGGGAGGGGGCCGCTCTGCAGTCCGAGCCGCCCCCAAGTGCCCCCTTTTATCCCATCAAGAGACACCAGACGGGAGAGGAGCAAAAACGAACCAGCGCCGGCGCCAACACCAAACGGTCCGACGCCATTCCCAGTTGCGCCAAAAGGCCCGGCCGGTTGGGGCGGGCTCTCTACCCCGAGATCTGGTAATGTATGCGCCGCACACCCAGTGAACCACCACAATCAAGCAAGCAAAGCAACCTGATGATCAAAAGAGCGCAGCCAGCAGGGGACGGCGGCGACGGCGGCGGCGGCGTGCTGCCCACCTGCGGGCCGATCCTGTCTTGGCTTTGGCCTTTAAAATCCAGCTTTGGTCCCTTTGCTTTTTTAATTTCCCCTGTTGGCATGCTTTTTTCGATGGGGGACGGGTTCTTTGCGACGAAGCTGCGATTCGTCGAGGACCGAGGCGAGGACCATTATCCCGTCCGCTAAGCGTCCATTTCGCGCCCCGAAGGAGAGAATCGACAAAGAAGAAACGATGGTCCAGCCATACCGAGCTGGCCGGCGACACTCGGTGAAGTGAGCCCACCTGTCGAATCGCCAATCTCACCCCGGATGCCTTGTGCATCCATTGGTTGTTTTTCTTGTCTCTTACTGCCCCCAACCTGTCTCAAGTTAAGATGCGGGAAGGGCCACACACCACACTTCAGTGTTGGAGTCTTGCTGTTCGGTTAGACGGGAAGCATTGACAGGGAGTCCGCCACGTCGGACCTGGAGACAAGAGCAAGGAACCAGAAAATCGGACGACTGGGCTTGATGATGCGTCGCGGGCTGTCTTCAGTTCAGCTGGACTGGGAACCCAAGTCGGCACTTGCGCGGCTTTTGGTTGCTCGCTTGCTCTATCGCCCGACTGCGGTTGATGTGGTCGACACACGGCACGCCTAAACGGAATGTCGGATATGATGATGATTGCTGACGGGCATTTTGCCGTGATGCTAGAGTCTGGACCTGGTTCCAGTCTCGCGGAGGAATGCCCAGAGAAGGCATCGTCTGTTGAAGATGACGCCGTGAGACTCAAGGAAAGGGTCGTAGTGATATTCAGGCTGGATATCAATGACACCACAACGAGGAGGACGGAAGAATGTGTTGCGAAGTGGGAATGTAGAAAGGTAAGCTGACATGGACGTGCCGGTAGTTGACTTTGGCTCTAGGGCACGGACTCGGAGGATTTCTCTTTCTCACATTTCCATCCATCTACTTTTTCCCCATCTCAAGATCTGCATGGTAGTTGGTCTCCCTTTTCGGTGCTCGCTCGGCAAGTTGAGGTCTGAAGGGTGCCATTGAGGTGCTGGGGCAAGTCGGAATTCGGTAAGCGGCTCATCTTCTCTGACGGTTTCGTCCGACCTATGGCCTAAGGTAGTATCGAGTCTACAGACCGGACAACATCTTCTTCCCTCGCTTCGTCTTCTCGACCGGCCAGTCTCTAGATGCATCACCTTACTTTGCCTACATTCTATTGAAACCGGCGAGCAGCAAAAACACCACTCCATCACACATATTTCCTCCTACCCTGCATGGTCAGTTATCAGATAATCCAACATCCAGAGGCCGCCGACGATGCTGCCACTGACGTTGGACGTTCACTTCTGCACCGGGCCCCCGATGTCTTGGTTCACAAGCAGGCCGGCCGTGTCTCGGACCCATCAAACCCAGGGAGACTGAAAACCTCCACTGCAAGTCTGGTCTCGTCTGCAGTCGCGCGGGTGCGGTGCGGTACAGTCGGTACGGTACTGCAACCGCATGCCGCACTGCATTGCATACCTACTCACACCACACGCTACCTCACACGCCTGAAAGTGTTGTGTGAGAAGGTAGGTATTCACGTCAGCTTCCGCTGCCTACGCATGTCTCACCAATGCCTTCCCATTCAAGCGGTTCACCGTCCCGCCCAGCCGTTTTTTCATTCGTCTATCACTCGACTCGAAGCATGTCTTGGGCTTTTTATGTCTCTTGCGGCTTGCCAACCGCATCCTTCACCGCCTCATTTATCGCCTCTGCGGAATGGGCCGCTTATTCATGACGGCGATGAGGCGTTTCCTTCCCGCCAGCAGACGCGAGAGCGAAGTTTACTGGTGATCAAGCCACGCTGCCGACGGGATGAGTTCCCCCATAGCAGTGTATGATCTGTTGCAGCGATGCTCGCCTTGCCAATCTCAATCCATCGAATCATACCCCCGGGATTCGATCCCCGGTTACACAAAGTTGAAGCTCCAGAGTTCACGCCAAGCCTCATGTCACCCTGTCGCAAATTAGAGCACGAAACATATCCCATCCTCAAAGGCATCGCGATCTCCTCACTGCCACGACTGCCGAACCTCAAACATTGACGTCGAGAGGCCCTTCGAAAGAGCATCAGGCCATCTCAAAAGCCACAATATCCCAAAACTTCCCAAATTCAAGGTCCTCCGGATACCTGGAATCGGAATGTCTCAAGCCAGTGAAGCCACAACGTCCAGTTCAGGGGTTCCCTAGCAGAGTGACAGTGATGACCCAGTCTGTATTGGTTTTAGACTTTCCAGCTAACCACATATCGCACGTCATGCCCGTCCAAGGACACCGCCCCCAGTGCGACCCCTCGAAGAACAAACTCCACAGGTTCGTCTCCCTCCGCTCGGGTCGTCCCCGTTCCGAAGGGAGCCCCGAAGGGAGGACCAATTCAACCAGTCCACTCCAGTCCGTCCTCTCGTAGGCTCGTAGCATATCGAACCAGAGCTTCTCCCTAGATGTGATTCCTCAAGAGTCTCAATTTCATCCGACAACCGGACATAAGCACGATTACCAACCCTCTTTCTACCCCGGAGAGCACACGGCAGTGTGGTAGTCTCGACGGCACAATGGCACCAAGCACAGCGCGCCTCACAATCTTCGTCTTCGGCCTCTCCTCCTTCGCAGCGGGAGTCCACTCCATCCTCCGTCCCCACGACTCCCTCAAGGCGCTAGACCTCCCCGCCGCCGCTCTCCCCGCAGCCAACGGCAACGCTCTGGCCGCCATTGCGATGGGCATCTACTACACCCTAGCAGCCGCCCAAGACAATCGCGCCTTCTTCCTCGCCACCGTACCAATGCGCCTGACGTCCGCCTTCGTGTTCTGGCGACAGGACTGGGGTATCGTTTCCGGTTGGGAGGGTGGGAGCGCGGCATTGACGCTGCTTGCCTTGGCTTGGGATGCTCGGCAACAAATCAAGACTCACGAGGCTTGAGAGGCTGGGCACCAATATGTCGCCTGACGAAGATGCGGAACATGCCGGGAGATCGGGTATGCGTGGTTCAGTCTTCTGTTCTAGATCTGAATTGATGCGCACTTTTGACTGAGATGATGTCTCCCGATGTGAGATTTAATCTCGACTTTCCATTCACGGCCAGTGGGTGAGGAAGACAGCCTGACTTGTGCAGTGTGGCCTTGGAGGAGGGAAGATCATCACTCGAGACCAATAGCGGACTGAGTAGCAAAGACATGAGGCGAACCAGTCTTACATCCTGACCCAGTCGTTTCCTCGAGGCTTCACGGGCGGCAATCGACAATATTTCAAATAATAACAACAACTCATCCATTTTCATCGTCCGCCTATGAGATGGCATTCTCATTACACTTCACGAGGCGGCGCGACGTGAATCTGCCAGTATTTCGTCGTCTCTCTGGGTATTCTCGCCCTCTCTTCGTCCGTCATCGTATCCTTCCCATATTCCTCATGCGTCACCCCCTCCGACAAGACGCCCTCTCTCGTGCCGTTTTTCAAATATGTCATAAACTCCATAGTCACCCTCACATACTCCCGTAACCCTTGCCGCGCATCAATCATAGCCCCCGTAGTCCAGCGAAGCAGCAATGGCTCAATGAGCGGCGCATCAGTCACACTGGGATGACTCGTCTCCAGACTGGTCAGGAACCAGCTTGAGCCCACACGCTCAAGTACATCCTTCGCGATATCCCTGACGGTGTCGAAGTGCGGCCGGCCGAAGAACAGAGTCTTCTTCTTGGACCAGGAGTCGGAGTGGACAATGAGGACTGGCACGTCGATATCAGTGTTGAGCCGTCCACTGCCCTTTCCCGGGTCGAGAGCGATACCTCCTACGGCCGGGTTCTCATTTGATGTAGCACCTTTGAGGGCCTGTAGTGCGCCTGTCGCGCCAAAGGAATGGCCTGCGATGACTGTCTGAGAGAAGTCGAGTCTGTCTTCCCAGTCCGTCAGGCCGCGGCCTTCTTTGCGGGCATTGTCTGTGAAGATCTTTGACCCCTTTCCGGCGTGTAATGACTGTAACACCGCTATCGTCTCTTCAATCTCAGCTTGTCGGAAGGCGAGCTGTTCGAACTTCAAGTCATCAGATTCCATCTCCTTGCCGCCCCTGAGTTCATTCTTGGTGAGGTACATGACCCTGCGGCTCTTGCCGTCCGTAGCTGTAACAACTGAGCCAGGGCCGCTGCCGTCGCGATGCTCGATAGCGGCAACGACAATTCCGCGGCTCGCGAGCTCACCGCAGTAGTGCGTGTAATCCGTCCGGGAACTGGCCAGGCCGTGAGACAATGCCACGACGGGGAATTTCTCATTTCCTTTTCTGCTTGTCGATGGGAGGAGCGGCACATCAACTTCTGCTGGAATCTTGATGCTCCCCACCAGGGCCCATAATGCGAACGTGAATATCGGTCGTGAGATAAAGTTGTTGAAATGAGCTGCCCTCGCATAGCCCTCTGCTATGAGGCTGATGGGTTTCGGCACCCAATAGTGATGGCCTGTTCCCCTTGCACCCTTCTCGGCTGGGTAATATAGAGTGAAGAGTACTGTCTCGAGTTTGAACGCAGGCTTGCCGTTGCTGGCGAGAACTGAGTCACTCGTGTTGCGAGGAGTACGAACGGGAACTTCAATGTCTATTGCCCCAGCTTCAAAAGGCCCCGAGTAGTTTGGCAGCCTGGATGCGAGGAGAGGCGACTGGATGAGGATGCAGTATAAGACATATAGCCCGATGAGACTCCAGAGCACATATCCCACTGTGAGCCGGGGTTGTATGGTCGTGAATATTCTCTGCGGCAAGGAGCGAGTCCACGGCTGTGCATTCTTCATCCACTTCGGTGCGTCTTCCATGATGTTGTTAGGGTAACCTCTTGTCCCAGTTGGCCGTCTAAAGGTGTCGTCGTTGTCGTGTGGAAGCGGAAGGGGAGAGTCCGGACCTTCAAATTCCGGAGCTTCGGCTAGAGCGTCAAGTTCCACATCGATATCTCTGTATGCTGGGACGGACTGGCGTGACGACATAACGCGAGAAAGCTCTCATATGTTTGGTCAGTTGTAGTAATCGCTGCTATCCTTGAACTTGTTGTGAAGTTGATGAGATGGGGTTGGTGCTGGCCGGAACCTGCGGCGGAATGTTCGGCTGTGGCGTTACGTCATCATCCTTGGTGTTTGGACACCACGAGATGGCAGCTGTCGCGCAGTCGTCCAAGCAAGTAGACGCTCGTTACACTTATTTCAAAGAAATCTCATTGGTTCAGTAGTCTGATCGCCAGAGCTTAATGCCCATTTTAAGAAGAGGGCGCTCACTCACCGACCGATCACGCACAGTTGTGATAAATCTGCTACCCAGACCTTTGCCTGTGTCTGGTTGCTCAACCTCCTATATGCATATGCAATCATAATAGCTGAGATTCATATAATCCAAAGCATTTTCAAGAGGCGCTCAAGGCTGACATCTGAGCTGTTGTAAGTGAGAGGACGAAGGTATCATGTCACAACCCCAGACTCCTCTATGGTGCACCAATGCGTACCTACAAGATTGTCGAACGAGTGTCGGCTACAGCTTTGACACTGAATGATTCTGAACTTCCAATGACAAATGAGTTAGTATTTAGGTAAGTAGCATGGATTCTAATTGTCCGGCAGGTTCACCCGCATCGCAATGTGCAGTATGCTTCATATACGGCTCCTTCGAGCTCGAGGCAATCATCCGACTGACCATGAGCCACGAGTGTTTGTAGAGATTATTCAGATGTGAGAAAGCCAGCACGGGTTGGCTTCTTCGAGGTTCCTGATGCGCAGTTGACATAAGAAAGACAAGCTGATGCCTCGGCTCTCCTGAGCTCGGCGGCAGTATCCGCCAAAACCAAGGAGACATGCCCCACGAAAACACTCTAATAGAGTTCTTCTACTCTGTCGCAAGTGAGCCTTAGTCGAATTCGCGATGAAGCTGAATCGTGAACGTGCTTTGCTCCAGCTCGTCGGGGCACAGCGGATGGTTTCATGGCATGGCTCAAGGTGGAGTCGGGCAAGAAACGCCATGACCGAAGGCTCTTCTCTGATTTGCCTTAGTCGCCGAGTTGCCTCCTGCAAGAAGCCTGCCCGTCAAAGCTCCTATACGGAACAGGGGAGATCTCCACTCTGAACAAGGGAACATGAATGCAAATCAGTTCGTTTGCCTCTTCTCGTAACGGATCAGGGTACTGAGGCATGTTGGGGAGTTGCATGATTCTCAGCAGTGGTCTTTACTGCCACTCTATGCGATAGTGATCAACTGGTACTCAGTCAAGGCATCAGTCATGGTAGAAGTGAGGGAGAGTGTCTCGTTAGTATTTGCTCGTTCTCTGAGAGTGTCAAGAAGCAACCATCACTGTCTTTCGAAGACCAGTGAAAGAAGCTCATTTCAATTCGATGAAAGGGTATCGACTGCGCCCAAACGGGCGGCAATACGTATGTCCTTACATCTCATCTGGTACTTCCAAAAGCAATTTAGCGTCATCAGCTGCTTGAAGAACTCGCCAGCTCATGTGGGATATTGTTTCCGACCTGTTCTCAGGGCTAAGCCTCAGCTATATTGATGACGAAATCTCGGTCCGCGGTATGCAAGTAGACTGCATCACAAGTCTCGCGACAGCGTCCAAGACAGGCAAGCGCCTTCCTGACGGTCTTACGAGATGGAAGAGCTCTTCGAAGACCGAGGCAAGCTTTGCTTCCGCGGCATGAATTGTGGCCCAGTCGGCCGGTTGTTCAAATCAAACCGAGCTAGCAAGGCTAGAGGTTGGCCTCAGGAGTGATTGTAGAACCCTTGCGATCGACGGGGGATAGCTGCATGTATGGATATGTTCCGTCGACGAAGAAGCTTAGCCACTATTGACAACACGATTGCCTACATGAGTTACAACGAATCACTAGGGGCTATGAAGATGGTTGCTGGAGAATGTTTACTCAAATAGCTGGGATGAACGCCATGTACGCTGCCGCGCTGCCGCGCAGTTTACAGATTCTAGCCAATCGCATTTGTCTCTACAAAACATCGAACGGATTCCGTGACGAAGGATCTGGAACTACCCCGGCGTCGTTCGTTTTCCTAAAGACTCCATTAAATAACCCATGACGTGCATCATAACCGCTTCGACCAGTCGCATCTCTCATATTTGCTCCATTGCTTGCCACAGCCCCCCGGCGAAGACCCGCGATGTACCGTGCCTACCTTACCCTAGATCACCAACCATGGAGCCGATCATCCGCAATTCGTTTTGCAGTCTTTTTACAACTACAGACTTCTCCCACCGCCAACCGAATCGAGAGTCTCGAAATGCGAGTTCTGGCCCATGATTGGCGGCTCAAGGTGAAACACACCATGCTGAGACCATGTGGTCCACCACTCAACGTTGAATCGGCCGAGAACCCGATAGCTTGTTTGGGAATTCGCTTTTGATTCCATCTTGGGATGGTCCAGCAACCCCAGTCTTGGCCCCGCCAGGTAGGAGGCGACTCTTTGATGGGGTATCCTCGCGGCCTTCAATGTCCTGTAGCCAACTCGACTGTTTGTCTTGCCACGCTCCTTGCATTCTCTGTCGCAAATGAGCTGAAGTTGGGCCAGAGAAGCCTCGGCTGGTTCGATTGCCACGATGGACGGAAAACGGTGGTTGAGATTGACTCAGCTTTCGGACTGACGGCTGCCATCGCAACTCAACATATAAGTAGCGCAGCATCCCCTCGTCCCATCTTGACTTTTTCTTTGATAGAAGTCTTCAGAGTAACTCGACGTCAACGTAGCATCTGCCCAGCGAACAACCTTTTCTGTCAAAATCACTAGCGCAGAGCGCTTATTTCAATTTCGCAAACATGGTCTATTCACCCGTCGTCGCTTTAGGTTTTCTGGGTGCCCTGCAGGGCAGGAGCGAGGTCTATTCACGACAGACGAACGCGACGGGCTGTGCGACGGGCGTGCACATGATTGTGGCCCGAGCCAGCACCGAGCAGCCGGGCACGGGAGTTATTGGCGCCATCGCGAACAGCATCCAGTCGCAGGTTCCGGGATCCGATATTGTCCCGGTCGATTACCCTGCACTGCTCAACCCCTACCAGCCGTCGCAGAAGGCTGGTGTCACGGCGATGACGAAGCTGGTTCAGGACTACGCCAAGGCGTGCCCCCAGACGAAAATGGTTCTAATGGGATACTCGCAAGTAAGTGGTTGCTCATCGTGACCAGAAAGAGACAGGAAGACTTACAGACATTGAAGGGAGCGCATGTCACTGCCGATGTCCTCTGCGGCACGAGCGAGACCGGGTTCGCGTCAACAGAGCCCCAGGCTACTGACGTTACGGATAAAAGTACGTTCCGAGTGATATCGAGAAATCTTTACCAGGCACTGACACGAACTTAGTTGCCGCCGTTGTCCTCATGGGCGACCCCAGCCACGTGACCGGGCAGCCCTTCGATCAGGGAACCAGCCAGAAAAACGGCGTAAGCAAGACGATGAAGAACCTCTCCGGCCAGGATAGACTTTGCTGATCCATTTACCTTCTAGATCTTTCCAAGAACAAAGACCGCCGGGTGCGACGCCGTCTCCAGCAAGATGGCCTCCTTCTGCAACAGCGGCGACCCGTTCTGCGACAGCGGAGCCAACATCCAGGTTCACCTGAGCTACGTCCAGTCGGACGGTGACGCAGCCACAAAGTTCATCATGTCCAAGGTCGGCGGCGGCGCTGCGGCATGACTGGGAGAAGGCACGGGAGCGAGCCAGTCTGTCAGCCTGCGCTTTTTACTGTACATGACTCTGCTGGCACAGATTGTTGGTTTACTGATCTTATGAAGGGGGTCTTTGCCATGATTCCTTCATGAGCTTGGCACCGGTAAATACCTTGGTTTTTCCTGTTGATACATATGGATTAGTTGAAGCATAGTTAGCGTACAAGATTATGTTCGGTCTCTTCACGTACCCTCTTGACGAATATTGATCCTCGCGTGCCCTTTGGCAAGCCAGATATCTATCATGACCATTTGACGTCCATTGATATGTCCTATCTTCAGCGTGAAGCCTTTTGGTGGAGACTGGAGAGCTTCGTCAGCATCTGGGGAAGGGACACGGCAAAAGGGGCCAAGCTTCTGCGAGACTGCTAAAGACATGCGTGTCTGGAGAAGAGGCACAGAGGCTGGATCAGTCCTTTGACGGTGGGCAAAAGAACCTTCTAGCTTACCAGGAAAGCCATGATTAAGATTTGGGTGATCCTCTGTATGTCAGGAATACCCCATGTCCTCAGGATAGGCTTGACATACCGTTGGATTCGCAAACCTAATTGGTTATTCCATCGAGTACGGAATAGCATCAGTACATAGATACGTACTCTGCATAAGGGGCAGTAGCGAATCACATATTGTTATCCAAATCTCGTAATATCACCGTCTCAATTCCTTCTGATGTACCCAATGAAAAATCCAAAGAGGGATCAGCGTTAGAGAATAATCGGGGGCGTATTTGATGCGTACTAATATACTGACGCACTCGATGGACTGACAGACCTCCTAAACTACCTTATCGTCGGTGGAGATTGGTGCCGAGCCAGAGCCATCAGCTAATGTCCCCCGTGATTACATATTCTAGCAGGAATAATCCGTGACAATTGGCGATGTCTACAGGAAGGCGCGAGCAGGTGATGCTTGAATGACTAGCCAAACTAGCCATTGTGCGATTTTCCCTGAAGATCAAGTGCACATTCACCTTGCCTTCTTCAACCAGATTTCTCTCCCCGTCGAGATGGATGTGGGTTCTGGTCACAAAAACAATCAGTCGCGGGCAACAAACGCCATTTTATACTTTAAGGAATCTCTAACAGGCGTCTCAATCAGTCGGAGAGATCCAACCCTGGTAGCGAGACGGCTCGACGGGTACTGCTTGGACACTCATGCAGGTACCAACGCCACCCATAACCTTGGCAGTAACCTTAGTTACCTTGAGTGTCTACACCGGGACTATTCCAGCAAGAATACTCTGTGACGAAGCGGTGATATCTCGTGCAAGATAGGTAGAGTCTGCTTGGTTAATCGAGTCCTTGCACGGTTTTCTCGAGTTCGACTTCCCTCTGCCTTCTGCAATCCTCCTGTTCCCCCTGTTCTTGGTAACCCACTCTGCCTTCCCCACGGCCATGGAGATGGATTGATGTCGGGAAAGGAACAAATGCGGACAGCAAACGTCAATTTATATCGCGGTAGTTCCCCATAAGCGTTCCAAGCACTCGGGAACCCAAGTACCGGGAACCCAGGCACCCAGGAATCCAAACAATTGGGAACCCAAGCACTTGGGAGCAATACCCTGGTAGCGGGATGGCCCGATGGGTGTTCTTAAGGTTTGAACAATAGGCCATGCAGGTGTCAATGGTCCGTCCTAACCTTAACTACCGCCATGCCTCCATCTTCGTGGCGTCTTGCTGCAGTACCGTGTCAATCTTGTCGATGATTCTGGATGTTTGCCAGACCTTGCTCATATAATATCTTTAGCCCAAGCTGCGACGACGATGTGAATTCGCTGGTATCATAGAGCCAAGGAAGGATGACTTCGACTCGAGACTGACCTTCTCTGGCGACCGGGACTAGCGTTTGCTGTTTTCATAGGCCGAATTTCTATTCTCCAGTCCACTGTGCCATTTAATTCTATCTCAGGCCATCTATGTTACCATTCCTCAGCCCTTTAGTGTCACTGTTGGTCAAGCCAGGCCGCAAATTCCCCTGCCTGTCGCTTTTACACTTCACTCGAGGTTTGGTCCGGCCTAAAACCTCTGCGCCCCCCGGCGTTTGGCATCGTGATCTTTCGCTCATGGTACTTACTCGACATGATTCTTCCAAACCCTAGTGGGGTTGATGAAATCTGGTCGAGTATGGACCTCTACGGAAAGCGTGTTCAGAAACATATATAAAGGAGCACATTTCTCCCTTCCCTCCTGTTTAATCCTGTCATCCTTCATCTCACTCACAATCGTCTACACGCAAGAGTAAGTCTACCAACTGTAAGTTTTTCATTCAGTCTGTTCGCAAGAAACCAAAAACAACATCACAATGTCTTCATTCTCTCACGTTTCTCTCCCCATCGACATGGAGGTGGATTCTCCCCCCACCTCCTGCTTTGGTTCTTCTTCTTCTTTCCTTTCCGTTGAAAACAGGCCTATCCCCCCTGTTCTCGGCAATCCTTTTCTTCCTTCTTCCTCAAAAGGCAGGCTTATTCCCCCTGCCTTTGGAGCTCCCTCCTCTCTCTCTTCTTCTCCTTCTTCTTCTCCTCCTCAGCCGGTTGGCTCTCAGGTTGGCTCTCACACCGACTCTGATCCAACCGAAGATCTCATCCAATCCTTCTCCTCCTTCACTGTCGGGGCTGGCCCTCTCCCCCCTGCTCTCACCAAGCAGGTAGCCGCCCCTATTCACCCTCTTTCTCTTATGGCTGCTCGAGTCGCTTGGGCTAAGTGCAAGAAGAGCAAGTGCTCTCCCTCTGGCAATCACTTCCGCCAGAATCATCCCCTCTACCGCAAGTACTCCAACCTCTCTCTCTTTTCTTCTTCCCCCAAGAACCGCTCCAAGAGCGGCGATATCCCCCGTGGCCCCTCCTCTTCTTCTCCGGCGCCTGCGAATCCCTTTGGGCCCAAGCCTGAAGGTGTTCGCAAGCGCCGCGCTCGGGGTAAGGGCAGAGGTCAGGCGAAGCAGCAACAGACTCAGGGCAATGGTCAGACTCCTCCCCGCGGCCCTCGGAACTCTTCCCTTGATCAGCGTCGGTCTTATCCCCAGCCCGCTCGAGGTCAGCCTCGCGGGTCTAGACCGAATCGCAATCAGGGCCCGAGGGCTGCGCAGTCTGGTAACCGCAATCCCTTTACGCCTGCTGCTGTGAATCCGTTCTCTCAACCCTTGCCCCAGGCTTCCGCTCCCGCTCCCCCTTCTCAGCCACGCAATCGTCGCTCTCGGGGCGGTTCTCGCCGCAACCCCATCACTCTCTAGAGTACTTGCTTCCCTCTCTTCTTTTTCTTTCTGTACTTTGTTTTCTTCTTGCACTTACACAAAAGCCCAAAAAAACTTGAAAAGCCTAAAGAGAAAAAAAAACCCCCGTTTCCTTTGTCTTGGTTTGAGATCTTCATTCTTACGCTCCGTTTCCGTTTTCTTTTGTTTTTTTTTGTTTTTGCTTTTCTCTCTCTCTTCTCTCTCTCCCCCCTCTTTCTTCTCTTCGATGTTGTTTTTGGTTTCTGGCGAATTGGTAGACTTTTTATCGCTTGCGTGTAGGCGATTATTTTACCTCCCCGGCCCCGGCGAGCCACCATCGCGAAATCGCCTTTCTCCCCTCCCCCTTTCCTCCAAGGCCCCAGTGAGCCACCTTCGGGAAATCACTCTTCTCCCCACCCCCTACCCTCCAAGGCCCCGGCGAGCCATCTTCGGAAAATCGCCTTTCTCCCCACCCTCTTCTCTCCCCGGCCCCAGCGAGCCACCATCGTGAAATCGCTTCTCTCCCAACCCTCTTTTCTCTCCTCGGCCCCAGCGAGCCACCATCGTGAAATCGCTTCTCTCCCAACCTTCCTTTCTCTCTCCACGGCTTCAGTGAGCCACCATCGTGAAATCACTTTCCTCCCCACCTTCTTCTCCTTGGCCCCGGTGAGCCTATCACTACTCCTCTGGGCGATGAAGTCGGACTCCAAACCTCCCCGTGGTATCGCCTGGGAACTTCCTCTCCTTCATTGGATTGGTTGCTAAGTCCTTCGGGACTGGAGACGCAAAAAATGGTAAGTTTCTTTCCACTTTTGACTGATACGCTTACTTTTACGTTACTCACTTTCCCTTCATGCCTTTGCATTTTGGTGTGGCTAATGTGGCAGGGTATCCTCACCTGCGACTTGGGAACGATGCACTTGCTGAGCAGCTTGTGGCTAAGGTAGGTTCTTGCTCTCACCCCTCTTTGCAACCCGAATCTCATCTGACTAAATCAGAATAAATCATCTCACTGGTATTGACTCTAGGGCCTTTCTCACCATTGAGATTTGACGGCCCTTTTGATTTGTTGACTTGCATCAATATTGGACACCTCGTTCTCTTTCAGGTTTGCCAACAGCAATCTAAATCTAGTAAGTAACTTAGAACCTTGATCATTTCCAAATTTCACGAGAAAAATTGAGATTATCTAACTCTCATAATATCACAGGTGAAGACTGATTTGAAACAAGAGGGAGACAGGGAGACAGGAGGTGATAGACTCATTTTCACAGTGGTGTAGCGAATGGTGGTCAAAAATACGTGTATATTTTTTGGTGAGTCGCGTGTCGCGTGTTACGACGTTTGAAGTTGTGGCTGACTACTCGGTGTGGCCCGGTGGCTTCCGTGCTGTGGCTGAGTCCACAACTCGGACCGGGTACAGGTGGGGCCGGGTCCCCGGCCACAAAGTTTCTCTGTATCGCCCGCCCGACCTGTCCTTCGGGGCCCGAATTCCGGCGTTCGCTCAGGGGCCATGCCAAACGAAGCTAGAGCTGAACCCAAATTGATGAGAAAACCTTCCAGAATTGCAAAGACCGAGTCAAGAATAGGTCGCTCTATTAAAAATCGCTTTGGAAGCAAAGTAACTGGAAGTCTAAGTCTTTTCCCCAGGTCACGTACCACTAGTCATGAATAGTGCTGATCGTTTGTTGTTCCGAAATCTGCCCTTTGCAATCACACTGCCCAGAGCTACTGCACCGCCCTGTCATGAGAATGCCCTGTGGGCAGAGATTAGCCTAAGCGCATCTCATGCAGCCAACTTTGCGATAGTTTTGTTCAGTAATGAAGTCCGCGGACAAAGACTTTAGTTGAGGTATGTACCGCAAACTCGAAACACTATTATACAGTGGGCGGCCGAGTCTTCGTATGGTGAGATTGCTTATGGGATCTTCTTTAATACAGTTTATACTAATACACTAGATGATTGACGAGGTAGATTCAAACATCGTGAGCAGCATTTCGAAGTCAGGCACAAGTGTGGAACTTGGGGTATTTAAGCCAAGCAACTTCACCTTGTCGGTCACTGGAAATGTTCACTGCACTTGCAACCGATCTACAGCCAGTAGTACAACTCCCTTCTCCAGTCTCACACGTTCATCAAGATCTAGAATGTTGTCTTCAAAGTTCTTCCGAGGCCTCTGCGCTGTCTTCGTCCTCCTTCTCGGCGCCAGCTTCGCCACGGCCTCCCCAGTCGCCGTCAACGCGGAGCTAGGCCCCCGCACCCCAACCGAAGATACCGCCGTCGCGGCCCGCGCTTCAGGCGGTGGCTGGTGCTGGCCCTTCTGCAACCCCTTCAGCGGCGGCGTCCCCAACGCCCCAAACCACTTCGACTTCCGCCCGCCCGCGTCAACGGCCCGCGCGCAGTACTTTGACACCCCGGACAATCAAGTCACCCTCCGCGCCGAGACGCAGACCACGGGTGCCGTGCTGGTGACCGTCTCGGTCGGCACGCGGTACACTCTGCCCGCGCACGCCGAGATCAACGTGCGGCTTCTGGTGCGGGGTACGCATATCGATTTCAACCACGCTAATCTGGAGTTTGGGAGCGAGACGGCCGTTGTGAGGATTACGCCTGAGCAGGCTGCTGCTTTTAGGACCGGAGAGAGGAGTGAGGATGGGTCTTTTACAATTAGGCTGTTGTATAGGCTGGGACAGGACTTGTGAGAGAGTTGCTTAGTATTTGGGGCTCTGGGCAAAGATTGCTTCTCTCCAGACCTCCCCAATTAGAAGCCATCATGGCAGGCATTTGTCGACTACGGAACATGTCAATATTCTTGGAGAGGAATCACGTTAAGTAGTATTTGCTAGCTTGCGAGGTCTCAATACATCTCACTGAAACGAAGGCAAATGACTTGGACTTTACCTATCACGAGAGAACATACCAAGAAGAGAATCAACAGCAGAGCCACAGCGCCCCAACATTCCCATGAGCCTGAAGCTCCAGTGGGAGCCGGGTCAGCCTGGGCGAGCGGTCGGCCACTGCAGGCCCCATGGTAGCTGCAAGCTCCCCCACTGAAGACTGCGCATTGTGGGCCTCGAAACACACGGGAACTATTTCAACATGGTGTTTAATTACATGCATGCTGCGTTCGTAATCATCGATTCAGGTCGATCCGTCGACGTGTCTCGGGGCAAAGGTCAGAATGCATCAGCTGCTTATGGGGGTTAAAATTGGTGTGAAAGGATAGAGAGGATGAGGCATCTTGAACATCAATCGGCATCCGCTGGTACTGCCACCAGGTATTTCCCGTCTTTTGGCAGGAATGCTGATGCCCTCTGCCATGCTTTGGTGACAATGTGGTGCCGAAGATAAGCTCGCGTCGTCCACCAATCCCAGCTTCTTGATGGGCGGAACGTGCATACGGCTGCATGTCACTTATCCTCATCTTATCTCAACTACCGGGAGCATGAGTGAGATGTATTGACGACGAGGTTCACCGGAGACATCGTCGAGCTTGCCCGCTAGTTTCACATCGTTGTTGCAATCGTCCGGTTTGAGGCTTGCAGGCTACTGGCCGACACATTTACTCTGAATACTCAACTTCCTACCCTGGTCTAGATTGCGCACATAGTGAGCATAAGCCGATCGGAACGCCATGGCAGAAAAGACGAAATACGTCAATCGGGTGATTCCCGAGGTGTGTCCATACTCCTTCCTCGCAGATGACTACTCTAATGAGAGAATTTACTAAGTTCTCTCATACAACAGATCTCCCTCCGGGATTTCTACAGCCGAATTGATGAAATTACTTCCCAGCTATGTGACGCCGCCGAGAATGTCGGCTTCTTCTCCATCAAGGACCACGGCCTCAGCCAATCCGAAGTAGACGAGATGTTCTCCGTGTCCGAGTCTTTCTTCGCTCTACCAGACGACGCAAAAGCCACCGTGCCGTGGAGTCCCAAGAACGTCGGCTGGGAGAAGCTGTCACAGATCAGACCGTCCACGGGCGCAGCCGACCAAAAGGAGTCATACCAACTTCAATTCGGGGACAACATGAACGGAGTCTGGGCCAGTGACGACATTCTCCCCGGCTTCAAAGAAACGTCCTTAGCCTTCATGCATCGTGTGCAAGCCATTTCGGAAAGACTGATGCTCTGCCTGGCTCGTGGTCTCGGCTTCGAGGATGACTATTTTATCAAGTACCACGATGCTGCCCATCCCGGCGCGCAGTCTGTGCTCCGGCTTCTACATTACTTCGAAACCCCGCGCGTCAATGATGGGAAAGTGTATCATCGAGCAGGCGCCCATGCCGACTGGGGATTTTTGACGCTGCTATTCCAACGAGAAGGGCGATCAGGGCTTGGGATCTGCCCAGGTCGTGAGGCTGTCAGCGAGCATGCCCTCGGGGATGAATGGACAAAGGTCGAGATCAAGCCTGGGGTAATCATATGTAATATCGGAGACTTGTTGATGAGCTGGAGCGATGATCGATTCAAGAGCACTTACCATCGGGTCAAGGCGCCGTGTGAAGAGGGAGATTACTACGGAGAAAGATACAGCATGGCCTTCTTCAACCAACCCTGCAAAGAGGCTGTTATCCAGGGCCCATTGAAGAAGTATCCGATGGTGACTGGAGAGGAGTTCAACCGCAATGCCATGAATAGGATGTACGCGGCTTTGCAGGCAAAGATGGCTGGGAATGAAGTCAAAACTTGAACGATGGAGAGACTGACATTGGAAGGAGTCGGATATGGGTGGTAATTATGTCGACCCGTGAAGGCAAAATGACTCGCGGGGTCATTTCCTTCTGAATTTGATACGTATCAACTCATGCCCGCGCTGCCTCTTATTATCAAAGTGATCAGAGATACGTTTCTGCCTTGAGTTAAATATTACTTCCAGATAAAGGTAACATCCCTCTCGCTCATGGACACCTCCTTCCACCCAGATATTGAGACGTCCTTCCAGCCAAGAGAATCGCAGCTAATCGTCCCCTTCCAAGAGCGGCAGTCATTTCCAGAGAACACGATATAGCCTCTTCCAGTCTCCCGGTTTAGCGTCGGCGACGTCTGATGATCCGGGGAGGAGGTCGAGGTAGCTGTAACGTCTCCATTCCATTGGAACCAGAATTTTGGAGAGCGGAAGCTGTTTTTCTCAAAGTTTTTGAACCGCTTCTTCTCCCCCACCTCGCTCTCCTCCTCGTCCTCCTCTTCTTCTTCTAATCCTTCGTCAGCTTCCTCTTTCTGCTTATCGATGTCGTCTGCTTTCCTCTCAGCCTCGCTGATCTTGTGCTCCGAGATCGAGCTATCATCCTCATCGGAACCATCAGAGGCTTCAGCCTCTTCATCGCTCCCTTCAAATTGCGATATCAGGTCTTCGAGAACCTTTCTGCTCCCGGTAAGAATAACGCTGGCATCCAGCACCCCAGGCAAGCTCAGCTGTCCCAATAGCCCCCTGCCATCTTCCGAGAGCCGAAAGATATCCATTGAAGGACTAGCAGGCTTCCCGTTTTTCTCCTCGGATATGGATCCTCTCACTTTGGTCGCGCTCGGGCACTTGATGTCGTATCTGCCAAATGCTCTCTTGACTTCGAAGGCCCCACCGCGTCGTCCTCGTCCGCCCCCTTTGTTTGACTTGCTTGCTCTGTTGTGAACATGTCTCGATGTGAAAGCTGCTTCTTGCCAATCGTCCATTATATGCAACGTGTTTGAATTGATTGATGTACTTGTTATTTGTACTCAAAGTGAGTGCTCAGTTGCAGTCGGCTCACTCGCACTCAAAAGCGCTGGTTCTCGATTGCTGTCCGAAAATGGGAGTCTTGACGTCATTTCTTCAGTGGCTCAATTGACCCGAGCGCCCGGCTTTGAGATGTCTTGACACAACAGCTAGAGGAAGAACTTCATGACCTGAAATCTTAAGGACTAGAATCATAGATGAAGATGAGCATCGGGACTGTTTCCCGAGACTCCTCATTCACGGGGCTCATTTGATCGTTGGCGAATGAGCTGCTCGGTGAGGTTGAGTGGGTGGTTCATGAGGTGCGCGCTCCAGGCTGAATGAAACATGATGAGATGAGCCAGTTCATTGAAGCCAGTAGACGTGGGTTTCACTCTTTGTCGCTCACTATTCACCTCCTTCAAGTTCGGAAATTGCGATTCCAGATGGCGACACTAGAAACAGGCCAGTCTAGCCCTTGCGCCGCAATGGGGACGTTGAATGATAGATCGAAGCCATTGCTGGCGGCCCACGATCTGACGGGCGGAGCCGGCTACAACGTTTGACATGCCGAGCCCACCAACGCTACTTAGCGCAGCTCATCAAAGACATTGCATTTGTTCTGTCAATCGAGAGTCGAGACTGCGACCTATGGATGAACCTTCTCGGCCGGGTTGCCCCCGGACCCGTCAGTGCACGCGTTACATCAGAGGTCGCATGCCCTCTCGAACCTTTTACTCATTGCCTTACCTTACTCACCGAGGGGGCGAGAGCGCGGAGTGAGAGAGGTGAGAGTCTGGACCTTGTGGAAGTAACCTGTTTCCAAGTTCCAATCCCTGTCTCTCACGGCTGACGCTTGTGAGTTCTTGAGGCTTCCCCCGCAATGAGCCGCTGGTGGCCCCTCTTCGCCGCTGCGCATCACCGGGGTGTGACGTCAAGCCCGCCAACACAGGAACATTTCCCTGTTCACCCAATCAGACACGCAACGCAACGCAGCAACACCCAAAATTTCCTGTTTTTGGACGACTCCGTCACACGCAATGCCGCTGCTCAGGGAGGCCAGAGCTCTGAGCGACATCATAAAGCTCTTTGGCGCACTTTCTGACTTGCTCCCGTTCCCCTCACACCATTGACTTTGACCTTTGATCATTGAAACCTCGCGATAGAACGGAACGATTCACCTTCCAGCGGAAACTCATCACCGCATCTGAATACACAAAAACACCTTAGGAAGAAAAGAAACACACGAAAACCACCACCACAATGTCCGACGACGAGAACAAGGGATCGGGAACCATCTACTCCCGCAACAAGGAAGACACAATCGAAGCCGAGACCCTCCTCTGGCGCGCAATGTGCGACAGCAAGACGAAGCACCTGAAGAGATACCTCGACAAGGAGGCCGTCCTCGCCCACCCGGGCCAGAAGCCACTCTCACCCAAATCCAAGCCGACACTCCAGGAGTACCTCGAGGAGGACTGGGAGCCCTGGACGGCGTACCGCATGCACGACGACCCCGAGTTTGTCGAGATTGACATGATGAGCTCCAGCCTGGTGTACAGAGTCACCGCGTGGCGCCAGGAGGGGAAGAAGCTCGTCGCGACGGAGGGAATTTGCAATAGTGTTTGGAAACAGGAGCCTGGCGGTGACTGGACTTGCTGCTGCCACCACATGAGCACTCTTTGAACCGGCGTATACGGCAATGTTTGATGCAAAGATTCACGGCCGAGGAGATGATGCATGATATGGATGGAGAAGGTTAGGACTGGGCGTTTTGTAAGAGTAGCGGCATGGCTCGCGGGCGCTATTGTTCTGGTATGATGATGATTGATTCTAATGGCATTTTTCTTGACTCAAAATATCGCAAAATGTTCGCTCCTAGTGTCGCACGCATGTGTTTTCACTCACAATGGTTTTCGCTGCCCATCCCCGCAAGGCGTTTCAATGGCAAGGCGCGTGCGCGTGAGGTCAGGTGTGCATCGTCTAATCGGCCTGGTGGTTGCGACTTTGCAGTGCACAGGATTAATGAGGAGAGCTTCTTTTGAGTCGCTTGTACCTTACGCTAGAAAAGGTTGCTGCAAAATGCGTCCAGAATGTGAAAATGTGATGTGATGTCACAGGATCAACTTGCATTGGAGACAGTGGGGAAACCTGGAAGCCCTTAACTCCAAGTAAGCCAGGGCGGTGATGAAGCATACGGAGGCAATGTTCTTGGAAAAAAGATGAGCGTAAATCAAATCAGAAGCACAGTGGAATGATGGTCAAAAACTTACTTCTCAGGGTGAACGTTCGGAAGATTCCAGTGGAGGACACACTGCTCTCACCCGGAGTCCGGAACTAATTCAGCTCCGGGGCGGGGCGGGAATTCGGGACCGTCCGGTGGAACATGGGCGAATTCGTGCGATAACCAACATCCAGCTGGATCGAAGACATGCATCCCAAACTTTAGTTGCCCTAATCATGACGTCCCAACGACTTCAAAACTATGCTTGTTTTTATCCTAGTACAGACGCCAAATAAACGACAAAGAACAATGACAACCTTGTACCCAAGATCAAGACACGACTTTCTGGCGACATGACTACCCCTGTTCCGTTACTAGCTATAAACCAGAGCATGCTCGAAGTTACCGTCTGGAATTGTTGAATAAGTAACTGAGTCAGTCGTATCGAGGTACAAGGCTGAGTCAACAGACAGCTACTGGACGTTCACAAACTCGGCGTCATCTTCAATCGAGACATCCTTTACAGACAGATAGGCCACTCCTACCCTCTCTACCACCTTTTCCTCCTCTAATCCTTCAACTGGTGTAACAATGAGAGCATAGTGTCGCAGCGGCCTCCCCCTGTGCTGCTTGTTCGAACCAACAATGACACACATGAGCGGCCGAGGCAAAACCCGATTTGGCTCGTCCAAGATCATCCCCGCTGGGTTGTCTCTCATCAGTGTGCGGACTGGTGCTTGTAGGTATGCCTTCTCCGAGGCGTGCAAAGTCGTATGTGAGATGGCTTGCGACGACCTTTGGAACGGTGATGAGATGCCCTCGGTCCTCTCGAGGTCGCCAAGAGCAACATTCATATAACTTATTTCTCCATCAAAGGCCATCCACGACCAAGAAGGAATTCGTTCTTCGGGAGGAAAATTGATTCGCCTCAAGGTTTTCCCATTGTTTCGACGCTGCCATAAGAGATCTCTGTGGAAGTTTGACTGGAATACTCCGTAACCCCCAATCGACTTCAGTGCCGTCATCAGTCTCTTTTCGAGACCTGCAATGGCTCTGGGTTTGTCGGTCAGATATGACAGACCCAGAGACGAGTAACGCTCGTAAAGGTCATGATAGTGCTGCAGCTGCCTCCCTTGCTTGAAAGACTCGACAGAGTGAGGGAAGTTGGAGTCCCCGAGGAAGGCCGCTTTTCGACTAAGCTTGAAGTCAGCCGTTTAATCAGTTGATTCGGAAAGAATAAGGAACTTACTTGAATGTCTTCGCGAATGTCTCGCATCGAATGCCTTCTCCGCATTCCCAGTAAGTTTGGCTGCTCGTGAAATGAAGAGTCCTCCTCGAAAGAGCACGCTCTTGCAATACCCAGCCCCTTTGGTTCAGGTCCCCTTCTTCCACGTCGGTCTCGAATTTGTCAATGTTTTCACAGACATGGAATTGCGCGCCATCTTCCGCTCTCATTGTAACAAACTTTCGATCTACGCGCGGTTTTAGGAAGCCTTCGAATCGGTGGCTGGCGCAGCTAGCGGCAATGGTGACATAGGCGGAGCCGAATATTTCTTCCATAAGCTCCGACTCTCTCTCCCAGTCAGCCTTTGAGGCAGAATCATGTTCCGGACCACGACTCTGAAGGATGCATAGGGAGTCGATCCAGAGATACTTCACTCCTAGTTGCCTGGTGATGATCACTGCGTCCTGAAATGTCTTGGGCAGAGAAACATCCTCTACCCCTTCCGGTGCTTCTATCAAGCGGATGTTTTCAGTGGTCGTTGTGGTGAATTTGTCCTCGACATTTGAGGCTGTTCCCCAGCGATGTGACAGAGCAACGTACACCACGGGAAGGGCGTCCTTTGCGAGGTTGGATACCAGTTGAACACAAGTGGAGTTTGAATCGCCAACGAGTAGAAGCCTATTGGGGATGAAAGTTTCACCGACTGAGAAGTGATGCGCACGATCGCAGCTTTTAATCCATTCGGCGAGGATGCTTGCATGAGTCTTATCTCCCGGTACGAGTGAGAATGGAATTCCGAGCTTGACTCCGTTGCGCTTTAAAGCCTGTGAATCTACAGCTTGAACATCAGTGTGATGCGTCATGAGTTGGCAAGCATTAGACTTACCAGCTGAACGACAGAGTGTCAAAATGGGATCCCAGTGTCTTTTTTCAAACGTCAGATCCGAGCCAGTGCGCGTGAACGTGATGCGTTCACCACGACGCGCCGCCCGTCTGGACATTGCAAGATGGAGGAGGCGGCAAAGCTCGCATGACGTTGATGAAAGCTCCAAGCCGGCGAGTGTGTCTTCAAACTTGCATGCCTCGGACCAGATTCTGAGGTCTTGGCATCTTGAGCATAGAATGGAATCTTCGAGTTTGGCCCGCTTCTCGACACTGTCTGGGATGATGGCTACAGCTGTTGCGTTGTCTGTGTTGTAAGTCCAAACATCATCGAGCTGAAATTGAGACGATGAGAATTTGTAGGTACTGAACTAATTATATTGGGGGAAGACGTACGGGCTATTTCGAGTCAGTCCATTTCACCGACCAGTCTCCTCACAAATATCGAAGTTGACCAGAGGGAAATACTCACAGTCTAGTTAAAAGGCCGAGATAGATTAGCGAAGCACCTTTCGGGTAAGATATCAGGTCGTTATTCACTCACAAACTAAGGACAACCGAAGAAAAGCATCGTTAGTCGTATTCCAAAGCAGCATTCGGCCATATCATACCGTCTGCCCCGTTGCAAATCATCCTTGTCAGCTTGGTGGTGACCATGCTGCTTTGGAAGGCTCACTCACATACTGGATTCTTGTCAGCGAAACTTAATCAAGTGTTGCCTTCGAGTTCGTTTCTTTTGGGTACATGTTTGAGAGACTGGGTCATCACGAACTTACTCTCTATTTTTGCTCAATCAATAACGCGTCAGTCGCGTCACCTAATGGACATCTTTCACGCCATTGCTTCTGCAGACTTACGTCGCTAATCTGTGTAATGTTAGTAAGAGAATATGGAAGGCGAATCTCAAATTTGACCCACTTCTGTTATGTTTTCAAGAGACTCACGTGTTCTTGGAGGTCTCCTGCTGTCGCCAGGAGCAAGACCCCTGGTGATGGTCGGCGGCCCACGTGCTGAAGCTTTCGCATCCCGAATCATCCATATCAGATCATTCTGCTCGCCGGCATCGAATATGCTCTTCATCTTCTCGTAGACTTCCTTGGCATCGGCTCGTTCAGGGTTTTCCCTTGCAGAAGCATCCGAATCTAGCGGTTGCGTAGGTCTTCTAACAATCACGTTGAGACTTGTCGGCTGCTGATTGCCTATATCTCTTCTTGTGACTCGTACAACCAGCATCCTTTCTTCGATCAAACTGATCAGACGGCCGACAGCAGTCTTCTCGACAGGAGCGCAGCGGGGATCGTCTTTGATCGTTTTGATCCATTCTTTCACCACGACTTTGAGTTCGGCGGGCGGACCTTTGACGAAGTAAGGCTCTCCAGGTCCAACATCTAGATGAAAAGACTTTAGTGCATCGTAGCCATACATCATCCATATGAGGGACTCAAGATACAAACAGCCGATGGACCAGATGTCGTATCGCCTTGTTCTGGCTTGTTTAATGTCCGCCTCTGGGGGCGAGTACATGATCGTGCCTTTGGGTGTGGTTGTTGGGGAACCTCGGATCTCAGTGGCTTCCTCGTGTACTTTGGCATGTCCAGCATCAGCGACAACCAGCCGCACGCCTGTAGGAATCTTCCCTTTGCCAATGTCATCTTCCTTCTTGCTGAAACACAAAATGTTCTCCGGCTTCAGGTCGCCATGCCTGCAATACTTATGTTGGTCGTTTTCGGGATGATGAAGATTCTTCACAGCGCTTGCCAGGCCGAGCAGCTGCTCGAAAAACCAATACAAGTAGTTGTTCCAATCCTGTATGCTGATATCATCCGATGCAGCGCTCAAACTAGGTTGCAGTTTCCAGAAATTGCGCAGGTTGCCACCTCTGGCCCATGGAAAAACGAAGAAATGCCGATTTCCTTGGGTGAAGCTAGCAATCGCTCGAATGAAATGTGGGTGGTTCTGGTTTCGTAGACGTGCCAAGATGGTAGCCTCATTCTCAGCGAGATCCTGAAACTTGTCTGCTGTTAAACCTTGCGCAGACAACAATTCTTTGACGGCAACATGAGGGTTATCTTCAGCGTCAACAATTGTACCCTATCGGAATTGTGGTTAACGTTATTCGGAGTGACCATGGCATGAAAAGTCTTACAATCTGATCATCCCGGGGGAAGTTGAGATGGCTTCGGTGAATGACAAAATGCCTGACGATGCTGAAGTTGGTCGCATAAGGCTCGAATTCTTTGACGAAGGGCATTGGGCAGCGAGGATCAAAAACATGGGCTGGCTCGTTAGGGGCGAACACTGGCACAAAGAATTCCCACTGATACTGTTTGCAGAAGTTTGCGAGCTCGTCGTCGTCTTTCTTGCTGATTCCGTCAACTTCATTGGCGGTAACTTTAAAGCTGACGGACTTGATTGACTGGTTTGACTTATATGACGCTACGGTCCACTTCTGACAAGATTTGTCGATTTTGACGCTCTCGAAGTTGATGGGGAAGCACTTATTATCAAAGCTACCGCCATGGAAGAAACTGAGCCACTTGTGGCGACCACGACGAATGAGAACAGCGACGAGAGTCTTCGCCTTATCGAACATGAAGCTCTTCATCTCCCGCCCGATTTCGAAATTTTCGTCTTGAAATGCTTTGACAACAGCATCATGGTCGGCAAGAATCTCGTGAATACGCGAGATTGGAACCCAGGTGTACGTCATATCGTCACTATCGTTGCGTACATCGACTGCCGCTTCCTTCAGGAGTTCTTGGAGATCCGAGAGAGAGCTCATTGTGGTCTTATTGTTGCTTTTGCGGCGCCAAAGAGTGAGGGGGATCAGAGGCGAAGACCGTCGTTGCTGGCTTGCTTTGATGGAATTGTGAGAGAACGTATGTCTTCTTGGGTGACTTGACTTCTTGGTGACTTGGGTTGCTGGAGAAGATCCTGTCGTCCAAGCTCGACGAAGAGGTAAGATCGGGGTAGGATCGTCCTTTTCAACTGAGTTCTCGTCAGAATCAAAAGATGTCTTTGTTTCTGCCTCGGAGGATACACCGCAAATTAGACCGGCGAATATTTGTCTGACGTTCATCACGCTGTGCATTCGCCAAATCTCACATTCGAAAGCTAACTCGTCGTCCTGGGGACTAGTAAGCCTCGCATGTGTTGATCTGGAAGGTCTGGAAGGGCTGAATATAAGTCGGCTAATCATAGCCTGACGCTTCAACGAGCCTCGGAACACTTTACGTTCTCGGTCATTGCTGCAGATGCCGCCGGTCGGATATGGTGTTGGTTGGAACCCACGCCCATTATCTACAGCCCCGCGCTAGATCATTGGCGGCCCGGAAGGCTAAGTCTCAGGATATTGGTGCAAATCTCGTTGGGTCAACATGCAGATTGCAACCACCATGAACACGCTCGGACTGCCGGTGAACCAACCTTTCTGGGCATCCACCTCCCTATCTCGGAAAATGCCAATAGACAGCTGTCAAATCACGTCACATGCGCGTCCTTGCAGATGCTAGTTTGGATGCCTCGTTCTCTCTACACCCTTATCACTCTAGTGCTTCCAGCACACAACGGCAATGAGGGATTTCCCGCGTGAGGCGGCGCTTAGCTCCCGGAGCAGCTGCGGGGATGAGGCTCTGTCGGATAGCAGTCTGGAATGATCGGACCGCAGACCATAGGGTTCCTTCCGTCTTCGCATTTATCCAAGTCCTCCTTGGTTCACCCAACTCTCTTGACTCCACACGAACGACTGATGTGACAGAAGTTGCCACTCACCTTGAGGCAAAGTATGATACGTCGTTCCGTTGATCGACTAACTGCATTCCAAACTCCAAATCGAATGAGATACAAGTCTGTCCAGTTTTGCGAATGACAGCACAAGGCCGTCGTGATTATTCCAAGTTTGTAGATGCCCCATATTAGTAAAGTACTGAGAGGAAAGTTGCTGATATGTCTAAGGTCCGACTGGTCTTTGCCAACGTGCTCCAATCGCTGCTTGCCGTCTCCGGAAAGGCCGCCTCAAATGGCATCTGAGTCCTTGCAACGTATCTTAAGCGACGCTTCCCAGACTGACGCGCTTAACAATGTCCGCCAATACATCCCCCGGCATGTCTTGGATACGAATGTCACAAGGGAAAGTGTCAAAGCAGCACTGAAGAAGTCGACTGCGAAATGGAAAATCTGGCCTTTGTCAACCAAAAGCATCGTAGACACCGTTGTTTCGAACAATCTAAAGTTGGTATTTGTGATACTGTTATATCTCGACGTCCCTTGGGATGTCAAAAAGTTCCATGAAGCCGGATTTACCGATGCAGATCTGCCCATGGAAAAGATGGTATCGAAACAAGGTGATCGTCTGCAGTCCGGGCTTGACTCCAAGAAGCTTTTTGCACCTCCTAAGCATTGGAACCTGCAAGCGGAAAACTTCGTCAGCAAGCAGTGGGTGATGATGGCACCCATCTTTGGCAGTTCGGGGGAATACCAGAAGCTCCATCCCTTATGCCCATTGCCTCTTACCCAGGCAGACGGAGTCATCCACAGTGCGCGGAATGTGGTCTACAAGGCGGAGATACAATCGTCTCATCAGAGAGGATTCGAGGTACGAACAATCTTGATTTGGGACTTGCGTCTCATGCTAACACAGTGATGTCGTCAGGCTCAAACATCTTCTCTTAAAATTGCCATTAAGGAATTCAGACACAAAGAGGATTTCAAACAAGAACGATCAAACCTCAGTGCACTTCGCACACTCCCCAATACCAAGCATATTGCGCAAAGTCTCGCGGCATATTCGCAAGGGAACAGAGATTACATCATTTCTCCTTGGGCCGAGGGTGGGGACCTAGACAATTTCTGGCAAACATCACACAAAGGTGTGACCCGAACATCCAAGCTGGCTCTGTGGAGCCTGGATCAGATGCTGGGCCTTGCGAATGCTCTCTATGCTCTACACGAAGAGCTCGGCGATGCTGTTAACTGCAGACACGGTGATCTGAAGCCCGGCAACATTCTTCACTTCACAGTGGACAAAGAACAGGGTGACTTTGGCATTTTGAAGATTACCGACTTCGGAATCTCGCGCATTCATCAGGAGGCAACTTTTGATAGGCTGAATAAGCCGACAATCACGGGAGCAACATCACCTTCCTACGAAGCTCCTGAAGCTGTAGCATCGCAGGCCGCTAGGTCCCGCAAGTACGACATCTGGTCTATTGGATGCATCTTTCTTGAATTCGTCATCTGGCTCGCACAAGATTGGGATGCCGTTCAAAGCTTTGCCAATGCGAGGAAGTCGACCTCGGCGCATGCGGGTGGTGCGATACCGTCGCACTTCTACAGAATCGACGAAGACGAAGCCGTCGTACATCCAGAGGTCTTCAAGATTATCAAAACTCTGGGACGAATACCACAAAGTGCTCCCAACACTGCACTCGGAAAGCTTTTGAGCATCATCAAGGAAGATCTCATCAAGATCAACTCGGCTGACCGGACTGATGCCAAGGGACTTTGCAATCAGCTCGAAGCAATAGTGTCGAAAGCCAGGTCTGATCCTGTATATCTGTGGGACTCTAGGTATTGATATGTGAATGTCGGGAAATGAACCTAGGAGGCAACAAAGGTTCTTAAAGTACACGTGGACTTTGTTATTGTTTGTTCTCATTGCTTTTTGTCTTTTTTTCTCGTCTCATCGGTTTGTCATAGCTTGTTTTGATAATGTTGTCTCTTTGGATTTCCTCTCCCCAAGTTTTGTCCCCAAAGGCATTGTACCTGCCTCGTTACGAACCTCTTTTAGTCTTTCCGACCGATCCTCTTTCTTTCTTAGTTTCCTTTCTTTAATAATTGGACATGTATCAACAGTGAAGGATCTTGATCTACGCAGGATATCTTAGTAATACTCACTTACCAATTGTGGATTATGCCAAACCATATGTGACCACATTAGCAGTCAATTTGGTTGTGATGGAGCAGTCCTGAACCATTGTACAAAGACTACATCCTCTGCAATCAACTTGGCAAACTAGGTCGGGCAGCTCTCGGCCTTGGAGAGGCGAGAGCTTCATCTTTGAGTATTGTGTGTGTTGAGAAGGGACTTTGTGATGGCGGAGTGATAAGGCGGGGAGATAGGAGATACTCAACTTTTCTCGTTAAGTTATAAGTCGCCTGTGTTTGAGAGCAAGATTCAACTTCAAACGACTTAAACATCGTAGTTGAGTGGGAGTCTGAGAGAGGTGCAAATGCAAAGCTCCAACTGCGGAGCTTTTGGGAAGCATTCTGATCCCGCTTACCTAACCCGGAGACTGTGACTATAGACCGAGGTATCCTTGCGATCCAAGTCGTCGTTAAAGACGAGAGCGCGTACTTACTCCGTAGAGCATAATGTGGGTTCGGTGCACGGATCAAGGATACGCTGCGATTTACCGGGAACGCGGCCGTTTAGCTTTGGTAGCACTGACAGCGTAGCCCACCTCTGAGCGTCAGATTTTCCCATAAGCGACCGAAGATCATGAATCGTGAAACCTAGTGTTTGCGATTTCCATAAGAGGCTCCTGCTAAGGTCAAATAGGCGTTACGCGTCTGCGTCTGCTTATGTCCATGCTGGGCAGGTTTGACTGCTAGGGCTGAAACTGATGTTCGGGGTTGTACTGGGTGTTGCTGGGTGGTACTGGATGGCATTCTCGTGGTAAACCAGATGGGGCGTGCAAGGTGTCATCTGATAATTCTCTGTCAAAACTCTGTCGGGAAGTGGAGTTAATATTCATGGGTTAAGGAGAGTTTGTTTTTTTTTTTGGAGGGGAAATTAGCAGGGCGATGTGAATGGTACTATCGTGGCTCGATGGAGGGATGGATGGCGGTGTTACGATAGGCCCATTCTTGATCTGGACTCTTGGCCGGGTTAATTATGAGCTGGATGAGACGTGTGTGAGAGTGGTGAAATCTAAAGTGAGTTTGTCTAGTGCCTGACGTGACGCGTCCGCCGTGCTTAGCTGTAGCTCATACTAGCTCGTACCTACACTATGGCGTAGTGTATCTGTACGGAATACGGATCTGTCTTGATAGGAATAGGGTATAGCCATGGGTATTGAATTTATTGATGATTGATCGACTCGTTAATCGAGAGTAGTGTTGAAGAGGAGCAAAGGGGTAATTGGAATGTTGGATCGCCGCAGGCAAGTGGGCCCGGTATCATCTGGGAAGCCCCTTTTGCAATTAATATCTACCATAGTAAATATCCGTATGGAGTATCTGTATGAAAACATAGAGACGAAAGAGGGAAAAAGTCGCCAATGAGAAAGCCAAGAGGTGAGCACAGGTGAGGAGTCGCCTTCACCTGCCTCACCGGGATATTGCGTAAAAAAGGGCAAGACCGCAGGCCGCAGACCAGCGACGGGTCCGCCTACCCCCGGGGGGTTCCCCCTGACCCTTGATCCTTTACCTTAAATTTTCCCCCCTTGGCCCTTCACCCTTCACCCTTCACCCTTCCACACCTTGTTCCTTGGTGAAATTTCCCCTCCGCACCAACCACACCACCCACGTCCACCTTTCACTGCCACCACCAAATGGCACCCAAAAAGATGGTGGAATCTGCCGGCAGCGCTTTTTAAGTGGATTACAAATCGATTGTTGGCTGCAGCCCAGCGACACCCACGGGCTCACTCAGCAATTCACCACTCATTTTCGCCCGCTCACTCACTCACTCACTCACTCACTCTGAGTTTGAACTCACTGCCCATCGGTCACTTGCGCGTCCGACTTCCGACCTCTGGTGCTTCTTTTTTCCCCCGTTTCTTGTATCCATCCATCCGTAGGGTGACCAACCTCGAGTATTCGTAATCTGCGCGAAATCGAAATACACGCACGCGCAGTTGACTGACTGGAGACGGGGCCAGCGACCGACACCAAGGACGCTCGCGAGCTCACCATCTTTGAATGAGATCGCCCATCTGATACCCCCCGTCTATTCATCCCTTTCAGCCTTCAGCATTTCAAATCATCGCTTGTTGCTTGCGCCAAAGCAGCAACCACCATAGCCCATCATGTTTTCACGCAACAAGGACCTCTCCCACATGTCCTCCTTCTCCAACATCCGGTCGCGCTTCAAAAACAGCATGTCGTCCTCGGCCAAGATCCGCAGTTCCGAGGGCTGCTGGACTTGTCGCCTGCGCCGCAAAAAGTGCGACGAGGCTCGGCCCGTCTGCGAGGGGTGCGCCCAGCTCGAGATCAACTGCTTCTACAGCGAGACGAAACCCGACTGGATGGACGGCGGCGAGCGACAAAAGGAAATGGCCGACCAGCTCAAGAAGCAGGTCAAGATTCAGGCCAACAACCGCCGCGAGCGAAAGTACCTGCAGGGCCTCGACGTTGAGGGAGGCGGAGTTAGCGGCGGCGGAGGAGGAGGCGGGCGCGGATCCGAGGATGGCATTCCTCCCGTCCCGGCGCTGAGTGCCGACGACGGTTCATCAAAGGCCAACGATTCCAACAGTCCGTCCACTGTGAACGACACCCCCGGCGACTCATCCTCTAGCCCGCCCTTCCAGATGAATTCGGTGAAGTCGTCGATCCATGAAATCGTCCCCGGCGCATCACCGAATCTGATGCGCCAGCACACCCCGGAATGGAATAACCACTCCAGCCCAGTATCCGCGGCACATCACCAACACCAGCAACAACAACAGCACCAAAAACCTCAGCCCGACTTCGCCGCCGGCACCGGCATGGGCACCTCCTCCTCTTCTATCCAACAAAACTCATCTCCGCCCTTCGCCGACGACTCCAACCTGAGCTTCATCATGATCTACCTCGACTACGTCTTCCCCTTCCTCTTCCCCTTCTACAAGCCGGCCCTCCTCGAAGGCGGCCGCGGCTGGCTCCTCAACGTCCTCAACCACAACAAGGCCCTCTACCACACCGCCCTCAGCCTTTCCTCCCACTTCTTCGGCGTCGTCCTCGACAGTGCCCAGGTCGAGCACGCCCCCTGCCGCATGAAGTCCGTCGCCAGCCTCCGTCACCAGATGCACCTCGCCCTCCGTGAGCTCCGAGCCGACATGACCCGCATCAACGAGCCCGGCCCCAACGGCGTACCCCGCGATCCCCAGGACCAACTCCAGCAGAGCTGCCGCGTCCTCGAGAGCATCGTCCAGCTCCTCATCTTTGACGTGACCCTCGCGACGACAGACCACTGGCACATGCACCTCGACGCCGCAACAATCATCTTCCAACAGATCCTCCCCCAGCCAGACCGCTGGGACCCGACGATGAACAGCATGGCCATCCCCCTCCTCCAAGGCGTCCACTTCCCGCCGGGCTCCCACAAGCCCTGGTCCTCGGACCAAGCCGCTCTCCGTTTCTTCACCGCGTCCCTCCTCTACTTCGACATCATCTCCTCCACGGCCCTCGAGCGCCCGCCCCGCCTCCAGCGCTACCACCGCCATCTCCTCTCCCCGCGCAAAGAAGCCGCTAGTGCTTGCGCAGAAGTCGAGCCCCGGCTCCGGCTCGAGGAGTATTTCGGCTGCCAATCTTGGGTCCTCCAAATTATTGGCGAAATCGCCTCCCTCGACGCCTGGAAAAAGGAAACGCGCCGGGCTGGCTCTCTCTCCATGACGCACCTCGTCTCCCGCGCCGGATGCCTCGAGCTCGCCCTCCGCGAGGGGATAGCATGCCTCGACAACGCCTGCCCGCAGCTCATGGGCTCCCCCAACTGCGCCGAAGAAATGGCCTGCCGCGCGGGCTCCTGCGCCGCCATGGACGCCGACGATGCTGCCGCTCCCCCGCCGCATCCAACCCACGTCGACACCACCAAACTCCCGCCCGACCCGCTAACGCTCTACCAATCCCAACAAACCCGCGACGCAACAGACGCAGCCCGCATTCACACCAAAATCTGGGCCTACGCGGCGCTAACCTACCTCTCGACCGTCGTCTCCGGGTGGCAGCCCTCGTGCCCGGAAACAGCCTCCAGCGTGGCCATCACGATTGACCTGCTCAACTCGCTCCACAGCCCCGTGTGCCTGCGCACCGTCGTCTGGCCCTTTTGCGTCATCGGGTGCCTGGCGGATCCCTGCCAGGAGCACATGTTTCGCGAGATGGTGGGCAAGATGGGTGCACTCGAGGTGTTTGGGTCCATTAAAGCTGCGCTGGGCGTCATGGAGAATGTGTGGGCCAAGAGGGAGACTATCGACGAGAGTTGGGATATTACAGCCTGCTTCAAGGTCCTTGGCCATGCTGTGCTCTTGACCTGAGAGGTCTGGAAAGTTCTTGAACCTAAGAAACTTGTGATCTGTTTCTGCTGCATCGGCACGCGGCTTTTGGAATGTTTGGACGACTAATTACAGGGTAAACGGTCTCACTGTCAGGGAAATTCGACTTCGAGATATCACCAAAGAAAGTGACTAGCGACTTCCCAGTTATTTTTCTTTTATTATCAGTGGTCCCAATCCGAAACGCCATCATGTTTTTGCTTTTTGCCAAGACAGCAGAAGAGACCGAATCTATCCAGTAGACATTACCTTCGTCGACCAAAGCGACGTCTTTCCAGCAAAACCATCCAAAAGACCCAAGCCGTGGATACAATCTCTATTACCA